AATATTTTTTTTAAAAAACACAGTTCTTTTATTCTCCTGGAAAGGCAGCTGTATATTACAAAGCCTAAAGATGTGAAAACACACACACTGAGTGATTACTTCAGAAAGCAGTTTTGTGGTCTTAAAAGTGACAGTCCTGGTGTTTTAAATGTTAAAGCTTTCTCCACAACCACACGTTCCTTTGATGTTTGGGTTATTGAAGACAAATTCACTGGACAGTTTGTCTTCTATATAGTCCATTTCAGTTCCTAGAAGTGTGAGTTGCGCTTTCTTTTCAATAAACACTCTAACACCATCCCGTACTACTTCCTCATCAGAGTCCCCCTTTGATTTTGTGTCTTCTAGTGCATGAGAAAGCCCATTACAGCCTCTTGTACGGACACCAACTTTAACACCTACACTTACATGGTCAGCTTTGTCTTTAAGCAGTTGTTTTATCTTCTGCACAGCAGATCGGGTCAGTGTAAGGGCGGCTCTAGTGGCCTGAATCTTCCTCTTGCTAACGGCCAGCCGAACAGTGGCTCTGACCATGGAAGAGGCCATCTCTGCCCTTTCAGCCCTGTCCTCTGAGGTTATCCATGGACACGGCGCATGGAGCGACCCAAGAGGTGCATTTTAAATAAAATAGCACATTCTACTCATGCTGGTAGCTTCGAGAACACTGTCCAACCATCTCGTCCTCTGTCGTGCCCTTCTCCTTGTGCCCTCCATCTTTCCCAACATCAGGGTCTTTTCCAGGGAGTCTTCTCTTCTCATGAGGTGGCCAAAGTATTGGAGCCTCAGCTTCAGGATCTGTCCTTCCAGTGAGCACTCAGGGCTGATTTCCTTCAGAATGGATTGGTTTGATCTTCTTGCAGTCCATGGGACTCTCAAGAGTCTCCTACAGCACCATAATTCAAAAGCATCAATTCTTCGGCGATCAGCTTTTTTATGGTCCAGCTCTCACTTCCATACATCAGTACTGGGAAAACCATAGCTTTAACTATACGGACCTTTGTTGGCAAGGTGATGTCTCTCCTTTTTAAGATGCTGTCTAGGTTTGTCATTGCTTTTCTCCCAAGAAGCAGGCGTCTTTTAATTTCGTGACTGCTGTGATACCTCACCATTTTTCTCCAAGGAACTCAACGTGGAGTAGATGGTTCTCCCCTCCCCGAGTCATTTAATCTCCAGGCGACTCCCTGGAAAGACTCCCTGGAAATGACCCTGAGGGCACAAGGAGAAGGGGACGACAGAGGACGAGATGGTTGGACAGTGTTCTTGAAGCTACCAGCATGAGTTTGACCAAACTGCGGGAGGCAGTGGAGGACAGGAGTGCCTGGCGTGCTCTGGTCCAGGGGGTCACAAAGAATTGGACACGACTAAACGACTAAACAACTCATGTAAAAACACACTGATCCCGGACTGTTCGCAGGCCAGATTTAGAAGGTGGTTGGGCCATATCCAGCCGCCGTGCCTTAGGTTGCCTACCCCTGTTTTAGACTCAGTTTCCCTCCTTTTCAAAATGGGGAGAGAGTGCTGTTCAGTCAGTGCTCCATCCCTGCGAGGAAGAGGAGCAGGAGGCAGCCTCTGCAGAGACCCAAAGGCTTGCTTCTCTTCTCCCTTCCTCCCTCCGCCTCTGAGATGCAAATGAGGCACACAGAGAGGTGAAAGGGCTCCTTGTTTGGGGCTCCGAGAGAGCGGCTGCCAATGTCAATGGAGCAGAGTCCTTCGGCAAAGGAAGTGCCTGCCTGGAATCTCCTGCCCCCCTCCACCTTCCTCCTCTGGGAGAGTGTGGGGCTGGGGGGGGGTAGGTTTTATGTGAAAACCACCAGCAGAAATGCAGGGAGGAAACTCCCAGCTCCTGCCGCCTTAGCAAAGTGACTTCCCCAGGGCACAAGCCTGGGCAGTGTGTCTGGAGGTCCTGGGCTGCCCAGATGAAAGGATTCGCTGATGGGGCGCAAAAGAAGCAGAGCAATATGTTTGGCACCATCCCAACAGCAGGAGTCGCTGGAAGGTGTACAAGCACCTTAGGGACCCCGCTCCAGATTTGTGCAAGTTTTACTCCCGAGCCTTCTTTTGCCTCAAAGATATTTATTGCGTAAGGCAGCAGAGGTTTATCTTCTATTTCTTTTTATAGAGTTCTTTATTTGGCTTTTCAAATTAAAATGCTACAATCACAAACACGCAACATACAACATAAAAACAAGATTCCACAGAATCTCCCGGACTTGCCTCCTCCCCTTTGTGGGTCCTTTCATGAATCATTTCCTCCTTCATCTTTCATAATAATCCAAATCTTTTACGTCACCGTTATATCCAAAATTCACCATTAAACTACGAGTGTCATTGCAATCCTGCTAACGATTTTAACTGTTTACAATGTGTTTTTTTAGGTAAATTATAAATTTCCCCCATTCCTTATTAAAATTTCGGTCTTCCCGATTTCTGATTCTTCAGGTCATTTTTGCTGTTTTGGCATAATCCATCAACTTGATCTGCCATTCTTCTCTGGTCAGGACTTTGTCCTCTTTCCATCTCTGGGCTTAGCGGAGGTTTAAGGTCAGAGTTTTCCTTCTCCTAGATGGGCTACCTTCTCTGGTGGATGAGCCCCACCTGCCCCTCACTTGGCATGTGCCCCTAACACTCCATACACCTTCCCCAGGATTTGAATCTGTGTTTCCTTAGAACCCAGCTTGCCTTTGTTCCAAGCTGGGGGAGCTCAGAGCAGCTGCTTGGCATGCAGAAGGCCCCGGGCTCAATCCCCTGGGAGAGACTCCCCAACTTGAAATCTTGAAGAGCCTTTGCTGCCGGTCCGTGTAGGCAGCACTGAGCTAGATGGACCAATCTTCCTGTCTCAGTCTAAGGCAGCTTCCTGCTTAAGCCAGCCCTTCAGAACTGTGAGGACGGGATCTTGATTCATTTTTTAAGGGAAGGACTGCAGCTGCATGGTAGAGACCCTGCTGGGCCTGCAGAAGGAAGGCCCCAGGTTCAGTCCCCGCTGGCAGCATCTCCTGCCTGAATCCCTGGAGAGCCATTGCTGGTGCGAAGCAAGACCTGCCCCTGGGCATTGGCCTAATCAGCACTGGCACGACACCAACATCTCTGTGAAACAGAAGATTTAAGAAATGGGTCCTCAAATGCATGTTTGTTTGGGCTCAAAGAAAGGTGGAAGACTCCTAGTATTTAAGACAATATTGCCCTGGAAGACCCGACTGTGCACAAAACACCTTCCTATGTTTGTCTCTGGAGGGCGGCTTTGCTTGCTGGTGGTGAGGGAGGCACTCGGTGCATGCTCAGAGGGCCATGCCCATCATGGCTCCGTTTGTGCCGGGCTTAAGAATCCCGAAATTTGAAAGAGATTCTGGCCCTTGTGTGTGAGAGAATCAACTCCACTCTGAGAAGAGGGGGAAATGAGAGAGGGAGGGGGTGATCTTGGGCTATCCTCATGAGACCTCCACCCCCTGCCTCAAGGACCTGAGAGTCTATTGAGGATCTGCTGTCCTCACTTTCCCCATATCAATTAAAGGATCAATTAACTGGTTAAAAGAGCACGCTTAATTCTCTCTAATTAACTTGCTTTGATGGCCTTAATTGCAAATACAGACGAGGTGGTTGGGGGCGAGGGGAGGGGGAGAGAAGGAGAGGATTATTATTATTTCCTCGGTTCTGCTTTCACAGAGTTATGGCTGGAGGCTGTGTGTTGTGTGTGTGTGTGTGTGTGTGTGTGTGTGTGTGTGTGTCCTGGGTATCTGAGAGATCTTGGATTCCTTAAGAGAGAATGAAAGTCTTTACCTTGAAGAATCATAGAATTGCACCATTATTACCGATAAAACAGAAACGGCTTAAAACATGGGGGAAAGACAGGCATTAGAAAGCAATCCAACCCTAATAAAATCAAAGCACACAAACATATATCAGACTTACCGGTATTCATAAATACACATAATCACAATAAGAACACAGCAGCCTTTCCTTAAAACACAGTTGCAGAGCTGGAAAGGGGACCTAATGGGTTATCTGGTCCAACCTTATTGCAATTTTAGGCCCTTATGCCAAGCATTGCCTTGTTTTATATGTGTGTGTGTGTATAAACACACACAAAACAACAACATATAAACACACAGTGATGCATTTGCAGCTTATAAGCATGGAAAGAAAATAAAGTCCCGACCAATCGGTTTTCCATTATTGCATCCATCAAAACTTATTTACACTGTTGAATTTATCTTAATGGAACGAAGATAAAGTCCCTACCAGATTAAGTTGATGGATTATGCCGGAATGGCTAAAATGACTGGAAGAATCAGAAATCAGGAAGACTGAAATTTTAATAAGGAATGGGGGAAATTTATGATTTATCTTAAAAGCGACTGCAAACAGTAAAAATCATTAGTAGCATTGGAATAACACTTGTAGATTAATGGTGAATTCTGGATATAATGGAGAGGTAAAGGGTTTGGATTATTATAAAAGATGCAAGAGGAAAGGACTTAATAGTAGGACCCACAAAGGGGAGGAGGGAAATCCAGGAGATTCCTTGGAATCTTGTTTTTATGTTGTATGTTGGATATGTGACTGTAAAACTTTGATTTGAAAAAGCAAATAAATATAAATATAAATATCGTCGTCGTCGTCGTCATCATCATACTTCTGAATGGAACAAAAGACCCGCAAACTATGAGCATTTAAATAAAACAATTTCTTAATGCCAAATGATAAATTTTGAGAAATGATGGGAGATGCTCCTCCCTTCCTTCTCCTCCTCCATCCTCTTCTTCGCTGCTGTGAAACTTTGCCTTCTCCAGATGTGAGTCCTGGAGAGAGAAGCTCTTTTTTCCTGTTTGGAGGTGAGGGGAATCCTAGCAGCACGCGCCTCCCCTCCACCTTCCAGACTCCCTCTCTCCTCCCATTCATCCCCTCAAGTGTAGGCCAGTTGCCATGGCGACCCCAGTGGTCCAGGCCCCAGCCAGCCAGCTTCCCTCCCTCCCTGCCTCCCTCCCCCCATCACACACACACGCGCACACACACACACCCGGGAAGGGTTGCATCCGGCTGCAGGGACCTGCCTCTCCTCCGGCAGCACCTGGCTCCACGCCCAAAGAGTACACACAGCGCAGCAGATCCCAGCAGATCCGCCAGGCGGGCAGGGGAGAACCCCTGGAAAGCTTGCAGAGCTGGCTTCCCTCCTCTCCCCGCCGGGCTCCTGCGAGCAAGGAGGCGGAAGGGAGCTTTCGCCATGGAAGCTGCCCATCCCCAGGCAGAGACACAGAGCCTCCAGCGCCCCGGGCCGGGTGTGGGCAGGATCTGAACCCGAGACCCACGAAACAGCAGCAGGAGGAGGAGGAGGAAGGCTGATGGCCGAGTGGCAAGCCCTCCCGGGGACCCCCGGGCTGCCCCCTCCTCGGAGGAGGGAATCCGGCGTAGAGGATGGCTGGAGCGTGAGTTAACCCCTCTTTGGGGGGCTGTCTCTTGGCTTTAGGGGGGGTGGTTGCCACAGCCTCTGGGGGGGTCTGGGGGTCCCTGCTCCTGGTGACCCTTGACTTAGGGGAGCAAAGAGAGCAGGCCATAAAGGTGGGGGGGGGAGCTGGGGGGGAGGCAGGAAATGTACAGGAGTTTGGTGGTGCTAGAGCGAGGAAGGGGCTCTATCTGGTGTTAGTCCTACTTAGAGTAGACCCATAGGGTTTCCCACTGCGTGACCGCAGCTGGGCGTGATCCGGCTCTTCTTGCATTTCCATGGAACTTCCAGGTCCATAAGCAGTCTATCGAGATTCCTAGGTTCTTAGGGGTATTTGGCGAGAATGCCGGACTAGATGAGCCTGTTTTCACTCATTCAAGTGGACGTGTAGGGCCGTTGATTTCAGCGGGTCTACTCGGAGTAGCCAGATCCAGGGCAGGCGGAGTGGTGGTGTTTTTTTTTGCAAATTCAGAAAGCAGAGTTGTCTTCCCGGGTCCCTCTCTCTTTCTCCCCTGCCAAGCGCTGACCTCCTTCCTAGAAAAGTCATTAAGCCAGCCTTGTGAGGAGAGAGCCTGTTAACCCTTTGCGTGCTGCGCTTCTGGGCTCTCTCACCTGCTGCTGCTTTGTGCAAGGGGGGGCGGGGGGGGTGTGACACTGAGCCTCTCCTGGGTCCCGGTGAAGCAGCCATGTTTGTGGGCACGGGGTATGCCCAGGACCCTGCAGATTTGACAGCCGGGGAGGGGTGAAGGAGGTACGGCTCTTCTCTTGAACCCTATCTCTGCCACTGCTGTGGATTTGCTACATAGACCCTCTCTCAGACTCGGTGCCACCTCTGTGGAATGGGAAGAAGGCCAGGCTACCCCGCAGGGTTGTTGTGAAGGACCGTTAACCACCATCCTTGCCAGGGTTGGTGTTAGGGGATGGTCTGAACCCTTGGGGTGTTTTTCTGGTTGGCGGACGTTGACTGGGCCCAGATCCACTAAGCCTCTGACCCCCAGTGATGCTCAGACGCACACCCCACCACCTTAATTTTTTCCTGGGTGACCTTGGGGGCCAGTCACTGCCTCTCTCAGCCTAACCTACCTCGGAGGGTTGTTGTGGGAAATTGTGCACAGTCTTTTGAGTACCCCTGATTCTTGCATCGTTTTCAAGTGCCTGTTTAAAAGTGGATCTTGCCAACTCTCAGGCTGTGTTTAAAGCCTCTTTTTGGGGGGGTGACTATTTCTGACCCCTCCCATGCAGCCAACCATCACCCACTACTTCCTTTCTCCCCAATCTCTTGCAGAACACAGAGCTGTTTGAAATGATTGAGAAGATGCAGGTGAGTCAAATTTACCTGGCAAGACCTGCCTGGACTTGCACCCGGGTCTGACAGAGGTAGACCGGAGGGTGACCAGACACTCGGGGCAGCCTAGGGGGAATGTGGGCAGGACAGGGTCTCCTTCCTGCCCCAGGGGATAAAGGTGCTTTTAGGACAGGGAGATCTTTGGGCTGGAAGCAAGGAAGGCAGGGCAGGGAGAGGCAGCTTTCAAGAATGGCCTTCCCCGATTTGGCGGGTTGTGTGTGTGTTTGGATTACAACCCTCAGCAGACAGCACAGGGACATGGTCAGGACTCTGCACTAGTAGAGTCAGAAGGGTACCCTAGCGGTCATCTAGTCCAACCCCATGCAGTGCAGGAATCGCAGCTCAAGAATCCCTGATAGGTGTCCACCCGACCTCCGCAGGGCCTGTAAGACAGAGCTATTCCACCTGGCTTTCAATTTGAATTTAGCCTGATCTTTTATTCCCCTTCCTTCCCTCCCACTCCCCTTTTGATGAAGATTACCCACTCTGGGATCCCACAGGTGGTCTCCCCGCTGGCCCAAATAGGACTAATTTAGCCAGCTAGCCCTGGTGATCATCTAATGTTTATTGGATGGATTTCCCCCTAAAATTGATTTTTGAATTCTGAATTTATTGTTATTCCCGTTTTCTATTGTTTTTATGCTGTTTTTGTTGCATCAATTAAGTGTTTTAAATTTGTTGTTAGCCGCCCTGAGCCCGGTTTTCTGAACCGGGAAGGGCGGAGTGTAAATAAAAATTTATTATTATTATTATTATTTATTAAAAACCTCCAAGGAAGGAGAGCCCAGCGCCTCCCGAGAGAGCCCGTTCCACTGGAGGGGCGTGCGCATATGTGCGTGTGGAAAAAATGCATCTCTTTGTGCGACGTGATGCAAATTTATACAATTAGTCATTGCACGAAGACGGTGGATAGACAAAAAAGTGGCTTCTGTGGAAGATGAATGATAGAAGATTCAAGACAGGTGAAAGTCCTCCTTCGTGCAGTGCATCGTTAGACTGTGGAACTCCCTCCCACAGGAGTGATGGCTGCCAACCTGGATGGCTTTAAAAAGGAGAATTAGACAGATTCACTAGCCTTGACGGCTATGCTCTGCCTCCTTGCTGGAAACCACAGAAGGAAGGGCGCTGTGATGCTCAGATCCTGCTTACAGGATTCCCATAATATGCACCAGGTTGGCCGCTGTGGGATTAGGATGCTGAAACAGAGGAGCCGCACCCTCCAGCCTGATCCAGGAGGCTCTTCTTACATAAATTCTTTCACAACAAAGCGCCAAATGACTCAACAAGAGCCTGGCTGGTTGTGGGGCAGGACAGGCTGGGGGGCCGGATGGGAGACGACTTTGGTATTGCTCAGTAAACAGAAGAAAGGACCCTGGATCTGTGCATGTGTGAGAGAGAAGAATCTACAGTTGCAAAGGGAAGAGACCTCTCGTTTCTCTGCCTCCACCCCTCCGCCCGCCACCTTTTCAGGGATTTAATCCGCAGGAAAAGGTGGTGTTGGAGGATTCCTGGCCGCCTTGAAATCGCAGCTTCCTGGAAACTGTCGCTGAGGCATTGGGGGATCCACGCTCTGTGTATGCTCAGAGGGGATTTTCAGAGAGGGGCTGCCCCAACTGAGAGAGAGAGAGGTGATCCTTGATGTCGCTTCCGGGCCTGAAATGTGGAGGAGCTTTGACCTGACCCCCCAAATGCCACAGACCTGGCTGTTTTTAAAAGCAGGGAAATGGACATATGGCTTTAATTCCACCTACAGAAGCGTCCTCTCCGAGGGCTCGTTTCAGAGCCGCCTCTCTGTCAACATACTCCTTTGTCCTGCAAACATCATTGTCCCGTTCCGCCTTGCCTGTCCTTGTGCCAAGCAGGATGTGTCGTCGCCGTCCTCCCCGCCCCCCTGCCTGTTCTCCAAAGCAAAGGTGCTCTTGGCTTGCATCCCCCCGGGGGGTGACCATAGCCAGGTGTTGACTCTGTGCCATCCATGTCTCTTGCAGGGCAGCAGGATGGATGAACAGAGATGCTCCTTCCCTCCTCCACTGAAGGTATGTCCCTCCTTTCCTCCTCTTCTCAGGTATACCCGTTGGGCATTGGGGAGAAGAGGGCAGCCCCAGGCAACCCGGCCCTTCCTGAGCGCTGCTCCCCATCTGCTGGGAAATGGGGCCTTGCAGCCTGGAATGGGTGGACGTTTCTGCAGTGGGTATCCTTTAATAGGCCAGCTTTCCTTTCCGCTCGGGTTTCGGGGGCTGCAACCTGTGCTTCTGCCAAGCTCTGCACGGCTGGCAGAGACCCCTCTGGGTCCTTCCCCTCCTCAACTCTGGGAGGTCCCTCCAGCCAGGAAATGCAGCAATGTTTGCAAGCCGCTGTGTGGGGCTGTCACCCGGTGCCCCAGAGAGATCTGTCTTGCCTCAGATATTTCCAAGGAGTGGGGCTGGGGTTGTATCGCCTTCAGGGTTAGAGCCACTGCGCAAGGTCCTGGGCTCGTTCCCCCACTGGCAACATCTTCAGGTAGGGCTGCCTGAAATCCTGGAGTGCTGCTGCCAGTCAAGGTAGGCAACACTGAGCCAGATGGCCTAGTGGTCATAAGGCACTTCCTTATTTAAATCAGAAACATGAGGACTAGCATCTTACTTTACTTTGTGGGGAGAGATGCTGCCGGCCAGTGTTGGCATTGCTGAGCTAGATGGAACCAAGGTTCTGTCTTGGCATTAAGGCGGCTGCTTACGTAATGGCATCCTGTTCTCCCCACCCCTGCAACCCGCACGCACACACACACACACACATGGCCTGTGACTTTTACTCTAGGTAGAGCACAGCTGGTACCTCATTCTGCCTCGTTTCACCTCCAGATCCTTGCGGCAAACCCATGTGGCACAAGTCAAGGTGCCCAGCACCCATCCATGTGGCTGGCAGCCATTGAGGCTTCCTTCAAATTGTGCAAGGAGCCGTTTCGGTGAATTTTTACACAGACGCGCCAGCCCTGTTTCTCCTTTCCCACAAGTTGGTTAACCCGACTCTACTTTGTGTTTTGCAGACTGAAGAGGACTACATCCCTTATCCCAGCGTCCATGAGGTAAGGAGCAGGCCGTGTCACAGGGAGAGGTTTGTCTTCTGTGGGCTGAGGTGGCTCTTCCACAGGCAGGAGCAGTCTACCTCTGGAAGGGCGATTGCTGGAAGCAAACAGAAATAAGTGAGCAGGTGGGAGCTGTCTCCTTTGTACCCGGAAGCATTGAGTTGGAGTTGGCCGCTTCTGGAGAGTGATGCATTCTACCCAGCTCAGTTTGGCTTGGAGTAGATTTTGAAGGAACGTCCCTACATTAGTGATGGCCCTTGAGTCTACTCTGAGTCATACTGGTGCCGGATGCTGCCCAGTAAGTGGGGCTTTGGTCTGAAGCAACGGTAGCTCGCTGTGACTTGTCTGCAAAGCGTTTTGAGGATAAAATTGCTTGCATCCACCAGGATCTTGACTTGGGATCTTGTTGCAGCAGATGAATCTAATGGGGTGTCCAGAGCATAGTCTAGTCCTGTTGTGTTGGATGAAGTGATTAATGCCTCTTTGCGAGAGGAGGTGGTCAAGGAACTCTTCCATCAGCTTCGGCTGGAGGCCCAGCTGTGCCCCTATCTGGACAGGACTTTCTAGGTTAGATTACTGCAAGGTGTTAGGCATGAGGCTGCCTCTGAACACCAGAAACTTCAGCTGGTGCAGAAATCAGCGGCCATTTGGCTCACCAGGGCAAGACAGTTTGACAGTATAAGTCCAATCCTGGGCAACTGCACTAGCTGCCAATTAGCTTCTGGTCCCAATTCAAACTGCTTTGAATGGCTCTGCACTGCAATACCTCTCTCCATATGAAGCAACCCAGACCCTGCAATCATCATCTGAGGCCCTTCTCGGGGCCAGAGGGTGGAAACACAAGAACGGGGCCTTTTCAGTGGTGGCTCCCATTTGCGGAATGCTTTCTCCAGGGAGTTGTGTTGCAAACTGCCCTGTGATCCTCAGATGAAGGGTGGCACAGAAAAGTAATTAAAAAAATCAAATTAAATAAAGAGGCACTTGAGAGGCAAACCCCCAACAGACCATTCCTGGTTATCTACAGGCACCTCAATCTTCTCTCACCCCTCTTCCAGGTTCTGGGCCGAGAGGGCCCCTTCCCCCTCATCTTGCTGCCCCAGTTTGGGGGCTACTGGATCGAAGGCACCAACCACGAGCTGTCGAGCATCCCTGAGACAGAACTGCTCCAGTCCCCGACCTGCAAGGTGAAGTTGGAGAGCAACCACACAGCCCGGCTCTACCGGAAGCACTTCCTGGGCAAGGCAAGTCTGTGCCCCCTCTGCAGGTGACGACGCCCTCCCTAACTCCTTATGGTTCCCACCCACTTCCTTGACAAAATGCCTGAGCAGTTCCGATTGGCCAGTTTCCATTCCGTTCTAAGCTACACACACACACCATGCATTTAAAGCATGTGACTCCCCACTCCCTGCCCACCAAATAACAACAACAATAACAATAATAACAACAACAACTTATTCCCCCCCCCATCTGGCCTGGCCTCCCCAGCCACTCTGGGCGGCTTCCAACAGAACATTAAAAGCACAATAGAACATCAAACGTTAAAAACTTCTCTAAACAGGGCTGCCTTCAGATGTCTTCTAAAGTCAGATAGTTGTTTATTTCCTTGACATCTGATGTCCACAGGGCAGGCGCCACTACCGAGAAGGCCCTCTGCCCGGTTTCCTGCAACCTCGCTTCTTGCAGGGAGGGAACCACCAAAAGGCCCTCAGTGCTGGACCTCAGTGTCCGGGCTGAACGATGGAGGTGGAGATGCTCCTTCAGGTATACTGGGCTGAGGCCGTTTAGGGCTTTCAAGATCAGCACCAACACTTTGAATTGTGCTCGGAAATCATATTGTTAAAGATGCTAGGAATTGTAGCCACAATTCACCCTAAGGTCCCAGGGCGGGTTTAATACAATATGAAAAACAATTCAAAGCAACTTGCAATTATAAAACCAAGGGGACCCTAAATACCATTTGATTGTAAAATAATAATTCAAAGCAGTTTACAAAGAAATTAAAACATTAACATTTTCAGGAAGAACAATTAAAAAAAGATTTAAAACTTTTTCAAAAATTAAAATCAGCAGTATATTAAGAACAAATTAAAACACACATCAACATTCTACGTGGCTGGACAGGCTTTGCCTAAACTAAAAGGTTTTTAGCAGTTGTCAAAAAGAGCACAGCGAAGGTGGTTTCCTGGTTTCAACAGGCAGGGAGTTCCAAAGTTTTTGCGCTGTCGTACTGAAAGATTGGGACGTGGGTGGTGCTGTGGGTTAAACCACAGAGCCTAGGACTTGCCGATCAGAAGGTTGGCGGTTCGAATCCCCAAGACGGGGTGAGCTCCCGTTGCTCGGTCCCTGCTCCTGCCAACCTAGCCGTTCGAAAGCACCTCAAAGTGCAAGTAGATAAATAGGTACCGCTCCAGCAGGAAGGTAAACGGTGTTTCTGTGCGCTGCTCTGGTTCACCAGAAGTGGCTTAGTCATGCTGGCCACATGACCCAGAAGCTGTACGCTGGCTCCCTCGGCCAGTAAAGCGAGATGAGCGACGCAACCCCAGAGTCGGCCACGACTGGACCTAACGGTCGGGGTCCCTTTACCTTTACTGAAAGATTGATTCCAGCTTGCAAGCTTCAGTCAGGTGGTCCTCAGCATGTTTGTGGATTTGTGTCCAAAGACAAGGAGACAGCGCATCCTTTGCATTAAATTATATTGATTTTTAATCGTATTTTTATTGCTGCTTTTAGTTTTAGTTTATTTTATTGCATTACAACTTAAATTCTGGAATTCAAAATGTTAAATGCAATATATAAGAAATCAAAGGGGCCATTAAAAGCGCAAATAGAAATCCTACAACATTCGGCTCAACGGGTTACAGTTGCTATGACAGGCAGCCGAATCTTTACGTAGTTCGTCAAAACCCTTCATGATTTCCAAGTGGTCCGTGGCCCCTTAGTGTGTGTCCCCAAAGCAGGCAGCGATAGGCGCGCATAGCAATCGGTTAATCTGTGGGGAAAATAAGCAATCTGAGCTAAAAATTCATATCAAAGAAAGATAGCCAGTAACAGAATAAAATAAATTCTTTGATAACCTCTGCACGAACAATCTGACAGCCAGGTGACTGATAAGCGTCAAGGCGGGGAATCTTTAGCACCAAATGAATAAGTTAATGCAATACATAAACGTTTCCATAAATTGACCAAAGTCAAGCGGGGAGATTAGATGCAGAGTCCCACTTGGGGGCCAAAACTAGCTGGGTTGTTTTTTGGGGTGGCAAAACCTTGACATCTGGAACCTTCAGCTAAGGCAGGTGTGGGGAAACTTTGCTCCTCTGGATGTTGCTGGACTACAACTCCCATCATCCCTGACCACTGCCTGGCCTTCCCCAGAATGATGGGAGTATGTCTGGAGGGCCGCAGGTTCCCCAGCCCCGAAATAGGCCATCACACGCCTTCACTGCCCTGGCTACCTTCCCCGGCACTCTGCCTTCTCCTAATGCTCAGATGGGCAACCTGTGACCCTCAGATGGTGCCAGACTCCAGCCCCCATCACCCCTGTTAGCCGTACACCTGGAGGACCAAAAGTTGATCACATCAGAGGTGAGGGTCCTCTTCCTCTTCCTCCTCCTTCTCCATTCCTGTTCCGGTCCCCTTTCCATGTTCTGTTTGCCAACAAATTGTTTTGGAGGGCTTTCAGTGGCAAGCTGGCCGGGGTCGCATTCCTGGCCCAGCAGGTCCGTGGCGACATGGGGGTGAGCTTATGAGGGTTGCCCTCCAAGTGGGAACCCTGCCCTCCTCCTCTGGGCATCGCCAAAGACCTGTTGTTTTCCTTCTTTTTTCTTTCCTCTTTGCGGTCCTCGCCAAGCGGGAACTGCTCCGTGTGTGCCAAGGGCGGGGCTCGGGGTTGTGCCAGGGACGGCCTGGGTAGCTTTGTGCCACCCTGGGAGGGCAGAGCGTTTATCGCTCCAATTTCCCCTTTTCCTCCTCTCCTCCAGCAAACACAGGTCCCAAAGTTTAAGGCTGATTAGAAAATGCCCACACTGTCAGAGGTAGTAAATACTCCTGGATATAATAATAATAATATACTACTACTAGAGGGACGCGGGTGGCACTGTGGGTTAAACCACAGAGCCTAGGACTTGCCGATCAGAAGGTTGGCGGTTCGAATCCCCACGACGGGGTGAGCTCCCGTTGCTCGCTCCCTGCTCCTGCCAACATAGCAGTTCGAAAGCACGTCAAAGTGCAAGTAGATAAATAGGTACTGCTCTGGCGGGAAGGTAAACGGCGTTTCCGTGCACTGCTCTGGTTCGCCAGAAGTGGCTTAGTCATGCTGGCCACATGACCCGGAAGCTGTACGCCGGCTCCCTCAGCCAGTAAATGAGATGAGCACCACAACCCCAGAGTCGGCCACGACTGGACCTAATGGTCAGGGGTCCCTTTAACTTTACTGCTATTACTACTACTAATAATAATAATTTATTATTTATACCCTGCACATCTGGCTGGGCTTCCCCAGCCACTCTGGGCGGCTTCCAACAAAATATTAAAATACAGCAATGCATCAAACATTAGAAGCTGGAAACCACAGGAGGGTTCCCTTTGGGGGGTTCCCTTTGGGGGCATCTGGTTGGCCAATTTGAAAACAGGATGTGGTGGGACTTGGTTGCACCCCCTTTGACCCGATCCAGCAGGCTCGTCTTATGTTCTTGGGAGGTTTAATGGAGTCTCTGAATCCTCTTTCGGGTTTGCTGTGCACCCAGGAAAGATGGCAAGGGGTATAAAGGCAATGCTTTGAGGGGAAGATATGGGGGTTTTCCTTGGGAGGTGGTGGACTCTCCTTCCAGCGTGGTGTAGTGGTTAAGAGCGGTGGACTCGTAATCTGGTGAACCGGGTTCGCTTCCCCGCTCCTCCACATGCAGCTGCTGGGTGACCTTGGGCCAGTCACACTTCTCTGAAGTCTCTCAGCCCCACTCACCTCACAGAGTGTTTGTTGTGAGGGAGGAAGGGAAAGGAGAATGTTAGCCGCTTCGAGACTCCTTCGGGTAGTGATAAAGCAGGATATCAAATCCAAACTCTTCTTCTTCCTTCCTTCCTTGTTTTTTTTAAAAAAATGTTTTATTAACACATTTAGGTTGGAGGGCCACCTTTCAGGAATGCTTTAGTTGTGCTTGCTGCGTCGCAGAGGGTCAGACTAGATGAGCTTTGGGGATCCCTTCCAACTTTATGGTTCCATGGCTCTCTCTTTTCCTCTCACAAAAAACATATCCTTCCTCCCTGCCCTGCTCCCCTCCTCCAGGTTGCCTTTACACAAATCTGTGTGCTGTTCTTTATTATTATTATTATTATTATCAGTAGTAGTCGTAGTAGTATTTATTGAATTTCCGGCTGGGGCCTTGTCCATAAAGGGTAACAGAGAGATGGAAAAGTTACCGAAAGGGGCGACTGAAACAATCGAGGGGAAAGTTTGCAGCTTTCGGGGCTTGTAAGATTAGGGGGAAAGGTGGGGGGGGCACGAAAGGGTGTTTATAACATTATGTGTATTTTCGGGAGTCACCTTATTTCTGTGACGGCAACGTTTGTTTTTTTAAAGCTGCTTTTCATATTGCATTTTAATTGCGGCGATTGTTCTCGTTCCACGTGGGGTAAAGAAAGTGGGAGCTGTTCTCCCCCTCCCAAAGTACCAGGACCCTGTGGCCCCATTAACTGAAAGCTGGAAGTTGCTGGGTAGACCAAAAGAGGATCTCCTCCTTTTGTGCTGGTTTTGAACTGTGGAACTCGGAGTCGCAGGACAGGCGCCAACTCCTGGGCGGACAGAATCCAGGGAGAAAAATTTGCCTCTCGCGCATGGAGCCTCCAGGTGCAGGAGCAGTCTACCAGCTGCTAAGGGGAAAGACAGCAAGGGGAGGCTTCCTGCTTTGTTGGCTTTCCCAGAGAGCATCTGGTTGGCTAATAATAATAATAATAATAATAATAATAAATTTATATACCCTATCTGGCTGAGTTTCCCCAGCCACTCAGGGCGGCTTCTAATCAAGTGTTAAAAACAATACAGCATTAAATATTAAAAACTTCCCTAAACAGGGCTGCCTTCAGATGTCTTTTAAAGAAAAAGATAGCTGCTTATTTCCTTCACATATGAAGGGAGGGCGTTCAGCAGGGCAGGCGCCACTACCAAGAAGGCCCTCTGTCTGGTTCCCTGCAACCTCACTTCTCACAATGAGGGAACCGCCAGAAGGCCTTCGGCGCTGGATCTCAGTGTCCGGGCAGAACGATGGGGGTGGAGACGCTTCTTCAGGTATACAGGACCAAGGCCGTTTAGGGCTTTAAAGGTCAGCACCAACACTTTGAATTATGCTCGGAAATGTACTGGAAGCCAATGCAGATCTCTCAGGACCAGTGTTATATGGTCCCGGTGGCCACTCCCAGTCAACAGTCTAGCTGCCGCATTCTGGATTAATTGCAGTTTCCGGGTCACCTTCAAAGGTAGCCCCACATAGAGTACATTGCAGTAGTCCATGCAGGAGATAACTAGAGCATGCAGCACTCTGGCGAGACAGTCTGCGGGCAGATAGGGTCTCATCCTGCCTACCAGATGGAGCTGGTAGACAGCACTCTGGACATAGAATTAACTTGTGCCTCCATGGACAGCTGCGAGTCCAAAATGACTCCCAGGATGTGCACCTGGTCCTTCAGGGGCACAGTTGCCCCATTCAGGACCAGGGAGTCCCCCACACCCGCCCGCCCCCTGTCCCCCCAAAACAGTACTTCAGTACACACCGCCTCCAGACACTCACACAAGACCTTCACCGCCTTCACTGGTTCTGATTTAAAAGAGAGGTAGAGCTGGGTATCATCTGCATACTGATGAACACCCAGCCCAAACCCCCTGATGATCTCTCCCAGCGGCTTCATAGAGATGCTAAAAAGCATGGGGGAACCCTGAGGCACCACGGAGCTGGGAGCCTGCATTGTGGGGGTTTTTCCTCCATTCTTATATTCAGCTTTTTCCTCCCCACCACCAACCCAGGAGCACTTTAACTACTACTCTGTGGACGCGGCGTTGGGGCACCTCGTCTTCTCCCTCAAGTACGACGTGATTGGAGATCAGGAGCACCTGCGCTTGCTCCTGCGGTGAGTGGGAACAGAGGGGGAGCTGCGAGGGCAGGAAAACCCAAGTCTTGAAACCCAGGGCAGCTGTTGCTTCCACTGAGAACTGAGCTCAATGGACCAAGGGCCAGTGGCGTAGCGTGGGGGGTGCAGGGGGGCCCGGCCGCACTGGGCGCAACATCTGGGGTTAGGGCAAATCCACAGGTTAGGGGGCGCAAATCCACGGGTTAGGGAGCGCAAATTACTTGCCTTGCCCCGGGTGCTGACAACCCACGCTACGCCACTGCCAAGGGCAGCTCCCTCTTTAACTCAGAACTTCATTCGGAATCTTGAGGACTAGAATTTTTAATTTTATTTTTAAGTGTGTTATCTCTTTCTTCTCTCTCTCTTTGTTTCTTTCTGGTGAAACTCACTGGGAAAATAATAAATCTAGATAACAAATCTTTTTATAAAAGAACGGAAATGGTTTATTTAACAAACAAGCTGGAAACGGATAAGAACATTGGCAGGAAGTATTTACCACAAAATGGGAAGTCTTTAAAATGTATTTGAAAAACAGCAATGACAGTTTGAAGTCTGTAGCGGCATTTGAGTAACTTCAGTAGGAGTTTTAAATCTGATGGAAAACCTAGGATAGAATAAATAACATTAAAGCCAAAATATGCTATATAATGGCAGTGAATAACGGATGAAAAATAGAAGTAAGGAGTAGATGGGAAGTCAGCTATATAGGAAAAAGTCATTTTTATGTTAAATGTATTGTGAGTAATATTTAATGTATTGATGTTGTTTTTGTTTTTATTTTCTTCTTTTTTTAGTTGTTAGGAGGTGATGGATATTTGTGTATCTTATTTTCTTTTTGTATGTGGTGTATTAAAATGAAATAAAAACTTTTAAAAGAAAGAAAGAAAAGAAAAGAAAAGAACATTGGCAGGATTATTGTAATAACCTGCAGCTTTTCAGAAGAGTATACATTCAAAGTAGATGGACAAACGAGCAAATTAAGTTAATGTGGAGATGCGGAAGATAATTAAAAATAAATTGAAGGAACCGCAGAAAGAGTGGGGAGGTAGTCAGGTTTTGAAATGTTAAATTGATTGCAAAATTAGTGAAATGTATAAACTTGAAAAGTATTTTTTTTAAAATGAAATGAGAAAATAAAATAAAAATCCCCAACTGGCAACTTCTCCTGGTAGGCCTGGGAATTTCCTCTACCTGAAATACGGTGCTCTTCGCCACAAGGGCTTCTGAATCTCACTTGCTGGAAACCACAGGATGGCAGAGTTCGGTCTTGTGTTTGAATCCTCACTGCTGGTTTCTGACAATGGGCATCTGGTTGGTCACTGTGAGAACAGGAGGCTGGACTGGGTGTTCCTAAGCCAGGGGTCAGCAACCTAAGGCCCATGGGCCGGAAGCAGCCCATGGAGGCCGTTTAACCGGCCCCCGAGCTGCCAACCAAGCCGCCTGCTTGGTGAGTCCCTGCGCACTGCGCTAGACCAGTGCAGCACGGCACGGGGACTTGCTTCCGCGGCTCCAGAAATTGTTTCTGTGCATGCCCAGACACCGGAAATCGTGTCTGTGCATGTCCGGGGCACCGGAAATCGCTTCTGCACATGCCCAGATGCCGAAAATTGTGCCTGTGCAGAAGCAATTTTTAGCGTCTGGGCATGCGCAGAAGCGATTTCCGGCGTCATGTTGTGCCGGCCCGGCCCACGGAGGATCTCTGCGGGAGTGATCTGGCCATAGCTGTCATCTTTTCCCTTTTCTTAAGAGGAATCCTATTCAGAATACAGTGGTACCTCTAGATGTGAACGGGATCCCTTCTGGAGCCCCGTTCGCATCTAGAAGCAAACGTAACCCGTGTCCGCGGGTCACGTTTTGGTGCTTCCGCGCATGCACGCAACGTCATTTTGAGCGTCTGCGCATGCGCAAGCGGCGAAACCCGGAAGTAACGCACTCCGTTACTTCCGGGTTGCCGCGGAGCGCAACTCGAACGTGCGCATCCCGAAGCACATTCAACCCAAGGTATGACTGTAAGGGAATTTCCCTTTAAAAAAGGGAAACGTTGACAGCTATGGATCCGGCCCATGCCCAGTAAGCCTTGCCAACCCCTGTTCCTAAGCCCTAGAGAGCTGTTCCCAGTAGGTGAAGACAGCGCTGTACTGCACTAGATCAGTGTTTCTCAAACTTGGGTCTCCAGCTGCTAGGGAACTTGTCACTAATGCTGGGGCGAGGCAGAAGGAGGAATTCCCCCTCTCTTCCCTCGATCTTTTCTCGGCGGGTGGGATCTTCTGCCTGGCTTCCTCCCATCTCCTCTGCCCTCTTCCCCCGCAGGACGAAATGTCGGACTTACCACGACGTCATCCCCATCTCCTGCCTGACCGAGTTTCCCAACGTTGTCCAGATGGCAAAGGCAAGTATTGGGGGTGGAATGGGTGCGTTGGGAGGGAGCGAAATGCCCTCGGACCCTTGCCTTGCAAAAGCACTGCTGGTGCGACCCATGGGTGGGCAAACTAAGGTCCGCAGGCCGGATCAGGCCCAATTGCCTTCTGGATCCTGCCTGCGGATGGTCCAGAAATCACTGCGTGGATCGCAAGCGCACACGTTCTTTGCCTCTCCCTCCCACGGCGGCACCTCCCTCCCTCCTCCTGGCTTCTTCCTGCCCTGCCTAGAGGAGGAAGGGGGCTGGGCCTTGTTGGTGCCAGCAGCAGCAGCGATCAAGCAGCTGCCATTTTAAGCAGCCCCTCTCCGGAGCCCTTTAGCGCACCGCTCATTGTCCCACCGCCCCCACCAGCCCCTGCCACTTGCAAGACACAGCTAAGCAGCTACCAGGGCTTGTGGTGCTCTCGCATCTCCCCCCCCCAAAATAGTTGAACCCCCCACAACGTCTGAGGGACAGTGGACCAGCTCCCCGCTGAAAAAGTTTGCTGACCCCTGCTGTGACCTGTCAGTCAAGGCAGAGACCCACCCCCCAGGGAGGACAGGACTTGTGTCTGGACCATTGACGGATTCAGCCTGACAGGAAGGGTGATTTGGAGGGGGGCGACAGTGGGGAACTGCAATCTCTCACACACCCATCAGTTATTGCAGCACTACAATGGCAGAAGCTGCACCTGTTGGACTTCTTCTCTGCCCCAGAAAGGAAAATGGCTGTTCTGTTAGGAGAACGGCGGCAGCAGTGGGCTGGATGGAATTCCCTCTTGTGCCTATGCAAGAGGAACCAGTTCCTTTTGTGATCCCTGGAATACTAGAATCGTAGAGTTGGGTCCAACCCATTGCGATGTCTTAGTGTCTGTCTGTCTCTCTTGGCTGCAGTTGGTGTGCGAGGACGTCAACGTCGATCGCTTTTACCCCGTGCTGTACCCAAAGGTAGGAGCGGGGAGGAAACTCGCTGAAATATGGGTATTTATTCGGTTTCTTGGACGCCTTCTCCTGAAAATCAGTCTTGAGGTAGTACTCAACAACCCGGATGCAGTCTTAAGGGAAGGCTTTAAAGCATTTTGTAGTATTCGGAATTAACTGATCTGATATAAAAGCTCTGTGGCTGCCTCAGAGTTAATTTATAATAAATGTCTCATGACTGCAATACCTCAGGGACCACCTCTCTCCATATGAACCTACTCAGACCCTGAGATCAAGAGGTCCGGAGGATGGCAGCGCAAGAACGGGGCCTTTTCTGTGGTGGCTCCCCATTTGTAGAATGGTCTTTCCAGGGAGGCTCACCGGGCACCTTCATTGCATATATTTAGGCACCAGGCAAAACCGCTCCTCTTTAACCAGGTCTTTGGCTGGATGGCATCTAATGCCCTTTTAAAATCTGTTTTTTGGGGGGGGGTTAATGGGTTCTCTTCGTTTTTGTTTTTATTGCGTATTTTGTATTTTATATTTCCTCAGGAGGTCCATGCCTCACAATCTTTCCATCATATATATATATATATATATATATATATATATATATATATATGCAGAAATATTAAAATAAATTTGTGGAACCACAGAAAGAGGAGGAAGGAAGTCAAGTTTTGAAACGTTAAAATGACTGTAAAATTATTGAAACGTATAAAACTGATAACCAGAATTTTAAATTTTCCTTCTCCTCTTTCCTTCCTGCTCTGCAGCTTCAGAAAAAACACTGGGTGAAGTGTTTTCTATAAAAAGCAGCATATTCTTACCTAATAAAACACTTCAGCCAGCTTTTCTGAAGCTGAAGAGCAGGAAGGAGAGAGGAGAAGGCAAATTTAAAAGCCAAGGAAGAAACACAAAGGAACTTTGGTGGGGGTGAGATGTGTCGGGAGCCAGAGGCAATGGGGTTTCCTGTGGCCCCCATGTTTCAGGTTCCCCTCCATGTGTGCTGCAGCAGGATCTGGGGGAATCCCTAGTTCCCAGGGAATGTTTGCACCAGGTAGATGTACTTGACACCTGAGGCTCCGCTAGCTGAAATCACCAGTTTTTTCTCTCCATCCCCCCCACCCGCCACCCACCCCGCCCCACTTCCAGGCCTCTCGACTCATTGTGACCTTTGATGAACACGTCATCAGCAATAACTTCAAGTTCGGTGTCATCTACCAGAAGCTGGGCCAGGTGAGTACCCTGGCTTCTTGCCAGGGAGGCAGGTGAGATCGCGGGGGGGGGGGGGGGGGAGAGAAATACCCAGGAGGTCCTGGACCAGAGGAAGGCACCTTCTTTGAGGAGGAAGCAGTGGCAGGAAGACACCAGAACAGACCTGCAGCTGAAGCATCCCAAAGGGGACCCATATAGTCTAGCATCCTTCCCTCGCAGTGGCCGGCCAGATGCGGCAAAGGGAATCCTGCAAGGATAATAATAATAATAATAATAATAATAATAATAATAATAATATATTTATACCCTGCCCATCTGGCTGCGTTTCCCCAGCCACTCTGGGCGGCTTCCAACAGAACACTAAAAGACAGTAACCTATTAAACATTAAAAGCTTCCCTAAACAGGGCTGCCTCAAGATGTCTTCTAAAGTCTGGTAGTTGTTCTTCTCTTTGACATCTGGTTGGGAGGGCGTTCCACAGGGCGGGTGCCACTACCGAGAAGGCCCTCTGCCTGGTTCCCCTGTAACTTGGCTTCTCGCAGTGAGGGAACCGCCAGAAGGCCCTCGGCGCTGGACCTCAGTGTCCGGGCAGAACAATGGGGGTGGAGACGCTCCTTCAGGATGACCCAAGCGCAGCAGCCCTCTCTCCTCCTGTGGCTTCCAGCAACTAGCATTCAGAAGCATCGCCGCAGAGCATAGTCCTTTACTCAGAAACATGGAGGCTGGAATTTTACTTTCTTTTGTTTGGAAGTCCCTATAGCTTAGCGGCAGAGCATCCGTCCTGCCTGCGGAAGGTCTCAGGTTTGGTCCTGCGATTCCTGCTTTGCATGGGGTCAGACTCGAAGGCTCCTTGGGGTCCGTTCTCTCCCTCTCTTTTTTAAAAAAGTGCTTTTTTTGGTACTCATTTTCAGGACGTTCGACTTCCAAAACGTTCAAATTCCGAGCCGCGGCTTCCGATTGGCTGAATGCTAGGCTTTTTTTTGCAGATCGGAAGCCGCGTTGGACGTTTGGGTTTCGAGGAACGTTTAAAAACCAGAACACTTCTTCTTCTTTCCCCCCAAAAAATTATTGATTTTCCAAAATTTATAAACAAACATAAATCCTAACTGTAATTATTCCACTCTTAATAACATTGTTACGTGACTTCCTCGAACCCCGCTGGCTGAGTTTCAATATATATCATTGTAACAGTTTTCCAAAAATTTCTCATAAAGTTTACTTAATCAATTAATGTCTTTCTTTCTTTTCATATTAAATTTAAACATGGTATTCTGTAACACCACATATTTAAATCCTAAGCCTGGTGTTTGCAAGTATTTCTATTTAAATTATCCTAGCATATTTAACTAAATAGTCTTTAAATTTCCTCCATTCCTCTTGGTACTCCTCCTCCTTCTGGTCGCGGACTCTTCCGGTCAGGTCGGCTATCTCCAAAAAGTCCATCATCTTCATCTGCCATTCCTCCACTGTTGGCACTTCTTGTATTTTCCAATTCTTGGCTAACAAAATTCTAGCTGCAGTTGTGGCATACAAAAACAGTCTAACATCTTTCTTGGGCAATTCCAAACCTGTTATTCCAAGAAGAAAGGCCTCTGGTTTCTTAATAAATGTATATTTAAACATTTTTTTCCAATTCATTATAAATCTTCTCCCAGAAGTCTTTCACCTTGGGGCAGGCCCACCACATATGATAAAAGCTACCTTCTTTTTCTTGACATTTCCAACATAGATTATCAGTATTGTGATACGGAACACTTACTTCTGGGTTTTCGGCGTTCGGGAGCGGAGCGGTTCGAGAACCGAGGTTCCACTGTATTAGTAGCTCCCTGTGGACTGCCCTGCCTCTTGGGTTTGCTGGCTGGGAGCCACTCTGCACCAGTATTGGAGACCCCCCCCTTCTTCCCCCCCTGAACAAACGGCAATACCTCTGCGCTGCTTCAGGGATGCCAGATTCCTCCCCGTTCACCTCCCACCCCACCTGTGGCTCCTTCACACCTGAGAAATCAGCTTGGAGAAGGGGAGGGGTACCCCCCCCAGGCAGCACACAGCTGCCTCCCCCTTCCAGAGCATGAAGGAGGGCCTTTTCTTAAAAAGCTGAGCTAAATTGAGTGCTCCCGTGCCTCCTGCGCAGCTTTTATCTTGAGGAAGTCATGACAAAGCTCTGATCCTTTGGGGTGGGGTAAAAAGGCGCAGTCAATTGACAAGTGATTCTCAGGGGATGAAAAGGGAAAGTGGGGAGGGAGAGAGACACCATGATCCAGCTTTCACAAAGCCACCCACCAGCTTCTCTATTTAAAATCTTGTTAAAAGCCTGTTAAAATGTATGATTTTGCCAGGTGGCGGGAGCTCCATCTAGTGGCCCAGGTTGGGATCGTGACCTCTTGAAACTAATGGACTGAAGCCGTTTCCCCTGATATAGACACACGTTTTTGCAAGACATTTCCCCCCAGATCTTTGCTTGCTATTTTTTTCACTGGTACATGCATTTTATGTCCACTTTCTCCTAATAACCTATATTTTCGCACCCAACAATTTTATCCCACACCCCTCTTGGAGAGCTGCGTTGCAAAATTTAGAGAAGTGAAAGCTTCAAAGGATAGCTGAGTTTGGCATTATTCTTTCAGAGCATAAACTGCCCATGCTTGGTCTATACAGTGGTACCTCGGGTTAAGTACTTAATTCGTTCTGGAGGTCCGTTCTTAACCTGAAACTGTTCTTAACCTGAAGCACCACTTTAGCTAATGGGGCCTCCTGCTGCCGCCACGCCGCCAGAGCACGATTTCTGTTCTCATCCTGAAGCAAAGTTCTTAACCTGAAGCACTATTTCTGGGTTAGCGGAGTCTGTAACCTGAAGCGTATGTAACCCAAGGTACCACTGTAGATTATTCGACCTCTCAGCCCCCCTCAAAAGGGTGCAGCACCCACAAATTCAAACCCAATGAATTACAACCAGCATGACTTCAGATTTGTGGGGGTTTTCCTGCAACCATGAGACCTACCAACCGGAAAATGAAATGAAACGACAGAGTGTCTTGAACAATTTGGACATGGGGTTTTTGTTTCCCATTCCAGAGCTGAACTTGAACTGGCCGTTCTTTCGCACTTGCAGGCTGCATTCTTCATCTCAGCACCCCGGCTTGAAACTTGTAGGCAGGGTGGGGGTGGAGAAGGAGACTTGTGTTGCTGTTGCGACCCAGTTGGGAGCCTGTGAGAATAGCCCTCCTGCAGATCCTGCAAGATCTACCAGTTGATTCTGATCTACTTTTTTTTTAAATAAATTTTTATTGGTTTTCCAAACACAAAATAAAAACAAACAATACACAATACACAGACATACAAACATATAAACATGTATAACTTCATAATCTTATTTTCATACACCTTACTTCCCGGACTTCCCCATACCTCCCCTTTTCTGCATCCTTGTTTTACATTTCTTCAGCAACTCCTCCAATTAACTAATTATTCAATTCAATTTCTTTTAAGTTCTTCTTTAACTTATTGATTACAGCTGCAATTCTCTATTTGCCAACTCCTTGACATCTTAACACTCCTCAATTTTACAACAATTTTTAAGATATATTTTAAATTTCTTCCAGTCTTCTTCCACTGTCTCTTTCCCCTGGTCACGGATTCTGCCAGTCATTTCCGCCAGTCCCATGTAGTCAATCACCTTCGTCTGCCATTCTTCCAGCGTGGGTAGTTCTTGTGTCTTCCAATACTTTGCTAAAAGGATCCTTGCTGCTGTAGTGGCATACATAAAAAACGTCCTATCCTTCTTTAACACCAATTGGCCCACCATGCCCAAGAGAAAAGCCTCAGGTTTCTTAGGAAAGGTCCTTTTAAGGACTTTCTTAATTTCATTATAGATCATTTCCCAAAAGGCTTTAATCTTCGGGCAGGTCCACCAGAGGTGGTAAAAGGTACCTTCAGCCTCATTACATTTCCAACATTTATTATTGGGCAAATGATAAAGATTCTGATCTACTTTCTGCCCACTCCTGAATAGAGAGTGCAGCCTGACCTGGTACTTTTCTCATTAATATATCTATTTCTATAATTCAGGGGTCAGCAAACTTTTTCAGCAGGGGGCCGGTCCACTGTCCCTCAGACCTTGTGGGGGGCTGGACTATATTTTTTTTGGGGGGGGGGATGAATGAATTCCTATGCCCCACAAATAACCCAGAGATGCATTTTAAATAAAAGGACACATTCTACTCATGTAAAAACATGCTGATTCCCGGACTGTCCGCGGGCCGGATTGAGAAGGCGATTGGGCCAGATCTGGCCCCCGGGCCTTAGTTTGCCTACCCGTGGTCTATATCATCTCTCTCTAAACTAAACTAAAGTAAACTAAAACTGAAGCGCATTCTTCTCCCTAAAAGCAAAAATGGTCCCTCCCCCCAATATGGATGGCTTTTTAGAAGACGATTGGTCAAATTCATGGAGGGGAGAGGACAATCGCTGCAATGCTTTTGAATCCCAGTTCCTGGAAACCACAGGCAGGGAGAGAGCTCTTGTGCTTGGGTCCCATTTCAGTAGCTGCTTGGCCACCTGAAGACAGGATGCTGGAGCCCCCATTGGCCGAACCCAACTAGCGCAGAAGTCTTCTTAAGTTAACTGGGATGCTAACGGGAGAGGGCTGTAAGCTCTTACCTCTGGCCGGTCCTTTCCCTTTCAAGATGGTCCGGGTTAGGGATGCACAGAGACCTCTCCCCCCCACCCACCGTGGCTGAAAGCCAAGCCCTCTTTTTGAGCATCAACACACATAACTCTGCCTCTTCTCTGCAGACTTCAGAAGAGGAGCTCTTCAGCACCACGGAGGAGAGCCCAGCATTCGTCGAATTCCTTGAATTCTTGGGCCAGAAAGTCAAGTTGCAGGAATTCAAGGGGTGAGTAGAGTCAAGAGGGGGGGGGGGCTCCTTTACGTCTGCCCCCTCCCCGCAGGGGCACAGTTGTTTTTTGCTCCTAAAAACGCTCAAAGCTGTTGGCAGCACAGGCCTCAAACTGTGTCTTTCTGTGGGGTGCAGGTTTCGGGGTGGCCTCGACGTGACCCACGGGCAGACAGGGACAGAGTCGGTCTACTACAACTTCCGAAACAAGGAGATCATGTTCCACGTCTCTACCAAGCTGCCCTACACGGAGGGGGATACCCAGCAGGTAGGGACGCGGCTGCGATGGCGGAGGAAAGCGCAGCCAGGAGGGCAGAGGAAAGGCGTAGCCGGCAGTGCACCGGTGGAAGCTGCTGGAGCTCACAGCTTGCCTGGACTTGGTTGTCTCCTGGCCTGAAACCCCCTTTGTGTGTGTGTGTTTTTCCTCTTCCCCCACCTCCCGGGTGAGCAAAAGCGAGTGGGACTGAAACAATGACCCTCTCCTCTCTCTCCTCCTGCTCATAGCTGCAGAGGAAACGGCATATCGGGAACGACATCGTGGCCATCATCTTCCAGGATGAGAACACGCCCTTCGTCCCGGACATGATCGCCTCCAACTTCCTGCACGCCTACATTGTAGTTCAGGCCGAGAATCCCTGTACGGAGAACACACTCTACAAGGTGGCTGGGCTTTTCTCGGAGTCAGTTAGCTCCGGGTGCCGGAACCTGGAATGCCGACGGGTGGTTGGGGGGACTTTACTATTATTACCGTTAGCATTATTGATTCAATTGATTACCCACCTTCCACCAGCGGGTACCGTATTTTTCGCTCTATAAGATGCACCAGACCATAAGACACACCTAGTTTTTGGAGGAGGAAAACAAGAAAAAAAATACTCTGAATCCCAGGAGCCAGAACAGCAAGAGGGATCTGGCTTCTGGGATAGCCTCTTGCTGTTCTGGCTTCTGGGACAGCCACGTGAAGCCTCTCCCAGGCAGCAGGACGAAGGCTCCCCGCTGCCCGGAAGAGGCTGCGTGCGGCTAAGCTGCCCTCTGTCCCTTCCCCCACCTCCCGCAAAAGCCAGCCAAGGGCCGTGCGCTCTTTAAAGGGAGCACGGCTCTTGGGGGCTTTTCTGGGAGGTGGGGGATAGCCAGGGATAGCCGTGCGAAGCCTCCGCAGGGCGGCGGGATGAAGGCTCCCCGCTGCCCTGCGGAGGCTTTCTGCGGCTAAGCCAGAAGCTAGAACAGCGAGAGGGAACTCTGCACAGCGCTCCCTCTCACTGTTCTGGCTTCTGGGATAGCCGCGCAGCCTGCATTCGCTCCATAAGATGCACACACATTTCCCCTTACTTTTTAGGTGGGGGAAAGTGCGTCTTGTAGAGCAAAAAATACGGTAATTGACAGCAATTAAAAACTGAAAACAGTTAAAGCAGGCTACAGTCGCAGAAAGAGGGTGGGCCCTATAAACACCCAGGGCTGTCAGAGGCCAGAGGAAAAAGGTGTGCTGTACAGTGAAGTTGCCCGGCGGACCTCTCTGGGGTGGGAGTTGCACAACATAGGGGGTGCTGGCTTAGAGAAGACTCTGCCTCAGGCTGCCACCACCCAAACTTCAGAGGGAGGTGGAGCGACAAAGGGGGACCCCGCCTTTGCTGATACTTCACACCCCGTAAAGAAGAGCTACCGGGCACTCAGTGTCGCTGTTAAGCACAGAATTATAGAATTGTTGAGTCGGAAGGAGTCCCCCAGGCTCAGCTAGTCCAGCCCCCTCTGTAATGCAACTAAAGAACCCCTGACAGGTTCAACCTCGGCTTTAAAATCTCCAACGAAAGAGGGACACACACACCCCCTCCTGCAAAGGAGTCCGTCCCACCGTTGTACACCTCTTGTGGCTGGAAAGTTCTTACTAATATTTTGTCGGAATCTCCTTTTTCCGCCATCTTAATCCACCTGAATTCTCTGCTCAGCTCTCAAAAAGGAGTAGTGCAGACGAGGGCCGAAGGCGTTTTAAAAATAAATTTATTTTTAAAATAAATTTTAAAAATATTAAAATATTTTTAAATAATTTTTAAAATACATTTATTTATTTGGTTTTTCAAATTAAAATTTTACAGAGAGATATTAAACATAAATCGTAAAAACAGGATTCTAAGGAATCTCCTGGTCTTCCATCCTCCAATTATTAATCATTTCCTCCCGCATCTTTTATGATGATCCAACTCTTTTACATCTCCATTGTATCTATAATTTGCCCTTAAACAGCAAGCGATATTCCAATCCTACTAACCGTTTTAGCTATTTACAATGGCCTTTAAGATAAGTTATAAATTTTCCCCATTCCTTGTTAAAATTTTGGTCTTCCTGATTTCTGACTCTTCCGGTCGTTTTAGCCATTTCGGCATAATCCATCAATTTCATCTGCCATTCTTCTTTCCATCTCTGGATAACTTCTAGGCAGCTTCTGGAGCTTCCTGGTTGCATCTCTCTCTCTCCCCCACTCCTTCTCTCCAGGTCTCTGTCACTGCCCGGGACGACGTGCCTTTCTTCGGACCTCCGTTGCCCAACCCGGCCGTTTTCCGAAAGGTGAGTTTTCCTGCAGCCGACCAGCTGGGCTTTGACGCTCCTTCCTCCTTCAACTCTAGGCTCTCCTGGTGTCAAGGAAAGTGAAGGGAACTGGGGGTACCTCCCTGTACCCCCTGTGAGCATCAGTTGCCACTGCCTGTGGATGAGGCACAGCTGGGTCTCTCCAGACCTCCACCCAACCTGGCCAATCGAACCTTGGAAGAGGAATCATGGGCAACCACGGCTAATGTACTGAGCCTGGTGCAGTCATAACAATACCCTCTTCAGTCTGAGATTGTAATTTAATTAGCACATGCAAAATGACCCAGGTTAATTTTATCCAGGGTTATCAGGAGTTGCTTGCAACTTAAAACCTAGGCAGAGAGAGAGAGAGAGAGGTGTTATGTCTGAATCAGGCCAGAGTGTTTTTCCGCACAGTGTTTTCCAGCTTGGTATTTTCTATCTAGGGGATTAATTTAGGTTGGCTCTGGGCAGGATTCAAATGAGTTTTATTCTTCATGGAACAAGATTCTCCCCTGCCTTTGTGTGTTGCCACAAGCCCTAAATCTACTCTGGAGCACTGGGAGAATTTCCAGCGCAGGTTTATGGGGTACAGTGAGAAAAGAGGGAGGGAAAGCCCTATTTTTTGGGGGGTATTATTGGGTTGCTTTTGTTTTTATTATGTATTTTATGTTTTTATATTGTGCTTTTATGTTGTAACCACCCTGAGACCTGCAGGTGTAGGGTGGCATACACATTTAATAAATCATCACCATCATCAGCAGTGGGTCATCATTTGCCTTTACCTGTCGTCAGGGAAGGGGCCATAGCTTGGTTGCAGGAATACTTCCTTTGCCTTTGCAGAAGGTCTATGGCATGGGTAGGCAAACTAAGGCCTGGGGGCCGGATCCGGCCCAATCCCCTTCTAAATCCGGCCCGTGGACGGTCCGGGAATCGGCGTGTTTTTACATGAGTAGAATCTATCCTTTTATTTAAAATGCATCTCTGGCTTATTTGTGGGGCATAGGAATTCGTTCATTTTTTTCTTTTCCAAAATATAGTCCAGCCCCCCACAAGGTCTTGAGGGACAGTGGACCGGCCCCCTGCTGAAAAAGTTTGCTGACCCCTGGTCTATGGGCTCAGTCAGGGATGGCGGGAGTTGTGTTCCGTTTCCCATCTTCCCGTTTTCCTTGCTCAGGGCCCCGACTTCCAAGAATTCCTCCTGACGAAGCTGATCAACGCCGAGTACGCCTGCTACAAGGCAGAGAAGTTTGCCAAACTGGAGGTGAGGAGCTGCTCAGCTGGCAGGGGTTCCACTGCTTCCTGCCGACTTCCAGGTGGGGGCGGGATCGGGCTAGTCTACACCTCCCCGCCCGCCTCTCCTCCAAGCTTTCCCCATCCCTCTCTCCGACCAGCCCTAAACCCCACCCCGGTTCCCTCCTGGCTGCAGGAGCGCACGCGAACAGCTTTGTTGGAGACCCTCTACGAGGAGCTACACCTCAACAGCCAGTCCATGATGGGCCTTGGGGGAGATGAGGACAAGATGGAGAACGGTAGCGGGAGCAGCGGGGGCTTCTTCGAGTCCTTCAAGGTGGGTGCGTGTGAGCAGGGGCCGTCCATGAGGTAGATGCCTCGGGTGGTGGAATCCAAGGAGTGGCTCTGTGGGCCTCCCCCCCAAAAAACACCCAGAGAAGAAGCGGCTGCATCAGCGTCTATGTCTGGCAAGATGCCACAAAGGTCTCTCCTCTAGAGAGATCTTGCCGGAAGCCGCAGCTAAATGAAGCTCAGCGGAGGCGGCAAGGGGTGTGCGCATGGCGCATGGCACACGCACAGAGCAGCACTTTACCATGTTGCCCCAAGCTGTGAGACAGGATGCGTCACCCCCACCTGTGCGAGAGAGGTGTGGGGAGCAGGTGACATCACCCAGGGTTGAGAGGCACCCTCCAATGCCTCGCTTGGGGCACGGGGATTTCCGCACATGGTCGCTAGCTTTGGCCGGCGGTCCCCAAAATTTTGGGCGCCCCCACTGCCCCCTTGGTTCCATAAGTACGTCCCTATAACCTTCTACCCCATCAGAAGCATTACGATAAAATCCAATACAGCCGTACCTCGGCTCCCGAACGCCTTTGGAGTTGAGCGTTTTGGCTCCTGAACGATTGAAAACCGGAAGTGAGCGTTCCGGTTTTTGAACGTTCTTTCGGAAGCCAGATGTCCGATGGGGCTTCCGATTGGCTGCAGGAGCTTCCTGCAGCCAATCCGAAGCCGCGCTTTGGAAGTTGAATGTTTCGGAAGTCGAATGGACTTCCGGAATGGGTTCTGTTCAACTTCCGAGGTACAACTGTACAGTGATGGTTGACTGCATGTGTTTTCCTATTCCAGCTATTTGAGTTGATTAATTCAATGCAACCAATCACCTGGTTCCTGTCATACTAGATATTGCACAATAAATATTTTTGCGCGTTCTTGTTAACCCAAACAAAAGGGCAAAAGAAATTTGTAGCATGAAATTATTGCATGTCAAAGTGCAAGTAGATAAATAGGTACCGCTCCGGCGGGAAGGTAAACGGTATTTTCATGCACTGCTCTGGTTCGCCAGAAGCAGCTTAGTCATGCTGGCCACATGACCCGGAAGCTGTATGCCGGCTCCCTCGGCCAGTAAAGCGAGATGAGCGCCACAACCCCAGAGTCAGTCACAACTGGACCTAATGGTCGGGGTCCCTTTAACTTTACTGCTATTACTACTAATAATAATAATTTATTATTTATACCCCGCACATCTGGCCAGCCAGATGGGCGGGGTATAAATAATAATATATTATTATTATTATTATTATTATTATTATTATTATTATTATTATCCGTTGCTGCTGGTCAGTGTAGACAATCCCTGAGCTACATGGGCTCTCCCTATAAAACAGCTCTGTAGGCTGCAGCTTACCTGCGTCACACTGAATTTCATCATAGGATCATAGCACTGCAGCTAAAGAATTACGAAGTTTCGGCGGGCGGGAGGGAATATCTGCGTCTGGGCAAAGGCCTCCCACTCCCCCAGCCTGACCCCTCTCCGGTGACACGACATCCCTTTCCCCTCTTTGCAGCGGGTGATCCGCAGCCGCAGCCAGTCGATGGATGCCATGGGGCTCAGCGGCAAGAGGCAGAACACCGTCTCCACCAGCCACAGCGGGAGTTTCGGCCACAACAACCCCGACATCGCCAAAGCCGCAGGCATAGTGAGTACCCCCCCCTCCCCAAATCCCCTGGTTTCCTCCAGAGTCCCTGAATTCCCCACCCCACCCTTCTCCCCTCCCGCCACATCTCCTCCCTAGTAACTCCTGCCCCTTTTTGACCCAGCCACTCTGGACGCCTCATTCCTCCCCCTCCTTATCTGTGCCCCCCCCCAATTAAAAGTCATTTCCCGGGTTGACCTTCCCGTCCCCTTGCTTCCTGCGCTGAGCTCCCTCGAAACGAGTTCATTAATAACCGGCGAAGTTTGCCAGCTCCTCACTCATTCAGCAATGCATCACCACTTTGGGGAGTGAAATTGACTGGACCAGATTGCAAACAGGGTTTTCTCCCCACCCTTCCCCTCCCGGAAGTGAAATTGACTGGACCAGGAGCTCCTGGTTATCTGGTCCAGTCAATTTCATTCTTGAAGCGGGAGGGTGGGGAGGAGTTGCTTATGATATGGTCCAGTCAATTTCACACATGTATTTGACCATTATGGACTTCTGTGATGGCCTTGGCTTGGTAGTAATGCTACCCCAGAATCACAGAATCATAGAATGTAGAGTTGGAGAGGACCATGAGGGTCATCTAGTTCAACCCCCTGCAATGCAGGATTTTTTTGCCCAACGTGGGGCTCGAACCCATGACCCCCAGATTAAGAGCCTTGTGCTCTACCGACTGAGCCACCTGCTTTGTGTGCAGAAGGCCCTCAGGTTCAATCCCCTGCAAGCATCTTCAGGTAGGGCGGGGAATGTCAAACCCTAGAAAGCTGCTGCCAGTCAGAGCAGACAGTACTGAGCCAGGTGACCCCAAAAGCATGGCTCTGTACAAAGCAATTTCCTATGCAAAGAGCAGCCATTAAGAATGAAGGGGGAGGGGAAGGGACAGACTAATTGTGCTTCTCCTCCCAGCCACCCCTGCACTGAGGTTTCCATAAATCCATTTGGCCCTCCCAAGCAGCCGGTTCTCATTGGGGCTGGCGCCAAAGTCATGGCCAAGAGCAGGCACACTCTGGGTGCGGTGCTTGCGAGTGGCCAGTAGGTGGCGCTCGCACTCCAGAGCTGGGGCAAAGTTAAGAAATGAAAAGAGCTGGGAGTCTCCAAGCAAGACCATGGTATTTCCATGCGGCCCACCACCACCAAAAATAAAATAAAAATGAGCAGGCAGGGGCGGCCTGTTTGGTTCTTATTTTAGATCCAGAGACCTAAGGCTTGCACGTTCCGTTGCTCTGAGCCGATCGGCACGAGATAACCTTAGGCACATTGCAGCCCCCGCCTCCCTTTCATGTACTTGCAATCGCTAACTCAAGTGCGTGTACCTCCGAAAGGGTGCAAAAGTCCAATTATTCCACCTCCCGTCTGGGCTGCAAGGACGGCAAGCTGCGGGGTGGGGGGTGGGCCTGGAGCTATGTGGTCACCGCCACATCCCTCCCCTAGCTGCAGAAGAGGTGGGTACAGGGGGAAGACGCTTGGCACTTTCATCCTACAGTGCCCTGGTTAGGAACGGGGGGGGGGGAGTTTTGACCCTCCAGATGCTGCAGAGCTCCAACTCCCATCATCCCTTGCGGTGGCTCCTCTTCTGCTAGTAAAGTGTGGGTCTTACAGTGGCTCTGGGTGCCCCACTCCTGTCATATTGCAGCGGGGTTGGACGCGGGTGGCACTGTGGTCTAAACCACAGAGCCTAGGGCAGGGGTCTGCAACCTTTAAGACAAAAAGAGCCACTTGGACCCGTTTTCCGAAGGAAAAAAAATCTGGGAGCCGCAAAACCATTGCGACATTTAAAGCATGCATGCCGCTGCCCTCCGATCTGACAGTGGGTGGGAAGGTGACGTCAGGACGGTGCGTGACTAACGCACGCACTGCCCCCATGCGACGTCACAGCCAGTACAGCGCCCGCCACAGTGGGGAGTGTCAGGGCGCACAATGCGCCTCCTCCCCTTGCTAGTATATGCCCCGGAGCCGCGGCAAAGGTGTAAAAGAGCCACATGCGGCTCCGGAGCCGCGGGTTGCAGACCCCTGGCCTAGGGCTTGCCCATCAGAAGGTCGGCGGTTCGAATCCCCGCGACGGGGTGAGCTCCTGTTGCTCGGTCCCTGCTCCTGCCAACCTAGCAGTTCGAAAGCACGTCAAAGTGCAAGTAGATAAATAGGTACCACTCCGGCGGGAAGGTAAACGGCGTTTCCGTGTGCTGCGCTGGTTCGCCAGAAGCGGCTTGGTCATGCTGGCCACATGACCCGGAAGCTGTCTGCGGACAAACGCCAGCTCCCTCAGCCTATAGAGCGAGATGAGCGTTGCAACCCCAGAGTCGTCCGCGATTGGACTTAACGGTCAGGGGTCCCTTTACCTTTACCTGGACTCTTATTCTTCTTTGGTGATCCCTCATAGCTGGGTAAGATTGTCTTCTATAAACACGGTTTTAACCGCAAGTCCATAAGTGACTGTGGAGGCCAATTCTGGATCCACACATCCTTCCACAGTGCGAACATAGGTTTCCGGGCGGGAGTTGATCATGGTGAGGGTTTGCCAAGCATGCCTTCCTCTTAGCACGTTTCTCCTTTGCGTTCTGAGTTCGAGTGTCTTCAAAGCCCATGACGCCTTTGGTAAAGGCTGTTCTCCAATTGGAGCGCTCGCAGGCCAGTGTTCCCCAGTTGTCAGTGTTTATACTACATGTTTTTTAGATTTGCCTTGAGAGAGTCTTTAAACTCCTCAACTCTACAATCTTATGATATATGACCCCAGGCCAGGGACCATGTTGTTTGGAGCTCATGGGAGTGGCGAGTCCAACCTGGAGGGCCAAATCTTCCCCATCCCTCAACTAGACTGTTATTTGACCCTTCACTGCCCAGACCAATTTCCATCACAGCTCTGCCTTCCTCTAATGTAGAGATGGAGAACCTCTGGCTTTTCAGCTGAGCTTTGACTCCCCAGCTGGTGGCAGGGGCTGATGTGAGATGTACCGTATTTTTGGCTCTATAAGACACACTTTTTCCCCTTCAAAAATTAAGGGGAAATGTGTGTGCATCTTATGGAGCAAATGCAGGCTCCTTGGCTTCAGCGATAGCAACGTGAAGACTCCTCAGCGCAGAGGGAGAGCTCTGCCTGAAGCCCCCGGAGATAGCTGCCTGAAGCCTCCGGAGCGCAGCGGGAGTTCGCGCTGTGCTCCGCAGGCTTCAGGCAGCTATCCGCAAGCCTTGGGAGCGCAGCAGGAGTTTCCGCTGTGCTCCGAAGGCTTGCGGATAGCTGCCTGAAGCCTGGAGAGCGAGAGGGGTCAGTGCACACCGATCCCTCTTGCTCTCCTGGCTTCGCTTCGCTGGAGAGGCGCTGCAGTTTTCCCTCTCTGCGCAGTGCCCCTTCAGCGAAGCGGGAGGAGAAATGGAAGGGGCTCCGTTTCTCCTGCCGCTTCGCTGAAGGGGCGCTGAGCAGAGAGGGGGAGAATCCCCCCCCCCTGTTCTCCCTCTCCTATGGTCCGGTGCGTCCTATAGAGCGAAAAATACGGTACCGGTAGTTCAGCAGCCTCTGGAGGGCCCAAGATTCCCGGCCATTTTCCCCTAGCGGTTGGGGTGGGTGGGTAGCGCAGCTTAGTAGCCGGCCGGAGTCCTACGGAGGCACTGTGAACAAGGGCGCTAGGGTCAGGCGGAAGGCTGGATGGGCACAGATCAGGAGGAGGAGCTTGGCATATGGGGTGGAGAAGCTGCCCTATTCCACACAATACCCGCAGCTGCTCCCCATTGCAGACCGCGGGCCAAATCCAGCCAACGCGCCCTCCCCCCCCAATTGCTATTCATACCCCAAACTGACCTGCTGTGACCCAACACGGGGTCCCCCCAAATTGCAGCATTTTGCTCCCTGCTTTCTACCTGTGCCATGGCCGATTCCATGCCCACCCCCTCCATCCGGGGACCCCGGCATAGCTGTCAACTTTTCCCTTTTCATGCGAGGAATCCTATTCGGAGTAAGGGAATTTCCCTTTAAAAAGGGGGAAAGTTGACAGCTATGGGCCCCAGCCCGCCTTTGAGCTTTAGCCATTGTTATGAGGACCTGGCACCATTTTGTTTTGCATGACCTCTCTCTCTCTCTCTTTCTTTCTTTCTCTTTCTCTCTCATTCCTTTGTTCCCCCTCCCTTTCCTCTCCCTGTCCTTTTTTTTTCCTTCTGCGCTCTCTCTGCCCGCTTACCACAGTCATTGCTTGTCCCCGGAAAAACGCCAACTAGGTACGGACGACGAGGCAGCGCCATAGGCATAGGAACCATAGAAGAGGTGGCTAGTTTCTCTCTCTCTTTCTCTCTCTCTTGGTGTCTCTCTCTCACTGCCTCTTGCCCTGTGGCTGCCCCCTACCCCCCCTCCTGCATGTTGGAGGGGCACACCCAACCCCTAGTACTCCCCATCGTCCCTCTAGACCTCCGGTGGGGGCTGGGGTGCAGGAGGGAACACCCAAGTTAATAATTCTTCCTCCCTCCTGCAAAAGTATTTTGGTGAAACCGAAAGCTTGCTCACTACTGGGTAGGTTTTCAGTCGGTCCTAATGAAGGAGCACTGCTACCCCTGCTGTTTTGATTTTACTTATGTTTTAATCATCTTTCCGGGGGGGGAGCACTTACCGTATTTTTCGCCCCCTGGGCGCACCAGCCCATAGGGCGCACCTAGTTGTTTTTTTTTTGGGGGGGGGAATAAAGAAAAAAAATTATCCCCCCCCAGGCGCGGGGCTGGGGCGGGGAAAGCCCGAGCTTCCCCCAACCCTAGCCCCCAGAACAGGCTGCTATCTGCAAGCCTAGGGAGCCTGGCGGGAAGTCGTGCCGCTCTCCCCAGGCTTGCGGATATCTGCCCGAAGCCCAGGGCGCGCTGAGCTCAGCGCGCCCCGGGCTTCGGGATGCAGGCAGCTCTGCGCAAGCCTTGGGAGCCCGCGCCACTTCGCACCGGGCTCCCACGACTTGCAGACATCTGCCCGAAGCCCTGGGTGCACTCTGCTGCGCTCCCTGGGTTTCAGGCTGCAGGCTGCTGTCCGCAAGCCTAGGGAGCCCAGCGGGAACTCCCGCGAGCTCCCAAAGCTTGCGCATAGCTTCCTGAAGCCTGGAGAGCGAGAGGGGTTGGTGCGCACTGACCCCTCTCGCTCTCCAGGCTTCAGCGAAAGCCTGCATTCGCTCCATAGGACGCACACACATTCCCCCTTCATTTTTGGAGGGGGGAAAGTGCGTCCTATAGGGCAAAAAATACAGTAACAACGATTTCTCAAAACAGGATGACAGTACTAAAGCTGTATTGTTATTAGTTGTTGTGGCCATAATTATCCCGCCCTCCTTCTGAATCAGATAAGGGGAACCTTCTCGGGAGGGCCTTCTCGGTGGTGGCACCCACCCTGTGGAACGCCCTCCCACCAGATGTCAAGGAAATAAACAACTATCAGACTTTTAGAAGACATCTGAAGGCAACCCTGTATCGGGAAATTTTTAATATCTAATGTTTTGCCATTTTTTAATGTGCTGTAAGCCACCCAGAGTGGTATAAAATATTATTATTATTATTATTATTATTATTATTATTATTTGCTGAAACTACAGTTCCCATAGGGATTGCCCACCCTCTGCTAGCGATGGAGAGAGCTGTAGTTCAGCAGCATCAGGGTGGACCAAAGGTTCTCCACGCCTGCTGTGTAGGAACCCAGTCTCCCAAGTTTTTCTTGCTAAAAATAAATAACTGAATAAAAGTATTGTGTGAGCTGATGGTGGCGTGAGGAGGATGCCAGCCCCACAGAGCACACTTGTGCCCACCTTGCCATGCTTTTCCATTCACTTGAGCCACACTCACCCCCCATCCGGCCTGACCCTGACCCTTCCTCTTTCCCGCAACCGGGGAGTTCCCCTTTATAAAAGGAGGCACTCTGCTGCGCACAAAGTGAAGTCTTTATCCATCTTGCATGACTCCCTGTTTCCCCACCTCAAAAGTGTCACGGAGGGTGCTAAAAGATTTGTAGCTGCCTTTGCAGATCCTTCTCCGCATATTCTGCACCCTGCATTACCCGTATGCCTTTACTCAAGGATGTTGGGTATATGAAGGGACTAGCCTTCATTGGCCCCGGACTGGCTGAAGCAGACAGAGACAGCCATCAACATTGCAGCCTTAAACAGGTTAAAATTACAGTGGTACCTTGGTTCTCAAACTTAATCCGTTCCAGAAGTCCGTTCCGAAACCAAAGCGTTCCAAAACCAAGGCGCGTTTTCCCATGGAAAGTAATGCAAAACGGATTAACCCATTCCAGACTTTTAAAAACAACCCCTAAAGCAGCCATTTAACATGAATTTTACTATCTAACAAGACCATTGATCCATAAAATGAAAGCAATAATCAATGTACAGTGGTACCTCGGGTTACAGAAGCTTCAGGTTACAGACGCTTCAGGTTACAGACTCTGTTAACCCAGAAATAGTACCTTGGGTTAAGAACTTTGCTTCAGGGTGAGAACATAAATCGCACGGGGGCAGTGCAGCAGCAGCAGGAGGCCCCATTAGCTAAAGTGGTACCTCAGGTTAAAAACGGACCTCCAGAACAAATTAAGTTCGTAACCCGAGGTACCACTGTACTGTGCTATAAAATAAATAAGACAGTATTGTAGATGATAAAAAAAAAGTAAAAAAAAATTTTTACCTGCACTGATGATAGTTATTGTTTGGATGGGGGGCTTTTATCCATTTCCACAGTCACACAATCAATCGATCAGTAGCTGAACTGGGTTCCACACAGTCACAAAAACAAATGAACCGAAAAAGCCTCAAAAAACAAAAATGCAAAATAAATACCAAGAACAAAAGCGCCCAACTTAATCCATTCTGGAAGTCCGTTTGACTTCCGAAATGTTCGAAAACCAAGGCTCGGCTTCTGATTGGCGCTGGCGCCCCGGAAACAATAGCTGACAGCCGCACCAGACATTCTGCTTCTGAAAAATGTTCCAAAACCGGAACACTTACTTCCGGGTTTTCGGCGTTTGAGAGCCAAGGTACCATTGTAGTTCCCGAAGCTCCCACGCCCACGTGGGAACTGTAGTTCTGGGAGATTACCGTTTTGGGGTCCCTGCTGGTGGTAGTTATCCCTGCCTATGACTCTAGCGTAGAAACACCTGCAAAGGCCTGTGATGGTGGCACCCTCCTGCCCACAAGCTCCTACCATACCTCCGTTTCTACGGCAGCCATTTTGTGGCGGCCAACTCGGTCCCAGTCGCTTGCCCCTTTTGCACCCTTCTCTGCCAGCGCCCTGCTCCCCTCCTTTTACGAGCGCATTGCCAAGTTTCTCTTTCTCTCTGCCTGATGGCTTGATTCTCTTCCAGTCCCTGATAGTCCCTGGAAAGAGCCCGACACGGAAGAAATCGGGGCCCTTCAGCTCCCGGCGGAGCAGCGCCATCGGTATTGAGAACATCCAGGAGGTGCAGGAGAAAAGGTGGGGCGCGGGGGGGGCAAGTGAGGTGGAAGGGATGGAGGTGGGCAGTTTTGCTGCTTCTGTTTTACTAACAGGTTCTTCTCGTCTTGTCATTTTCTTAACTGTTTTTCAATCTAAACCTTGAGATTTATTTTTTTGGTCCAAAAGTTCATTCAGGTTGCACTTGCGTGGCGAGTTCCCGCCCCCTCCCCCAAGTGGAAATAAAGACACATGACACAATTATTAAGGTTAATGGGCTAAATAAGGCCACAACTTTATTGGTTACAGGTGATGAGCGGTATTGGCTTAGGCATTGGTCCTAACAGACTATATCCGGCTTCAGCCTGTCCGCTTGAAGTCCGGGAAGGGTTAACCACCAGTAGGGGGAGTCCTGCTGATGCACATCAACTAGGAACTCCCCCGGGGTCAGCGATAGGGGGCGTGCCTTAGGCCCTCCCCTCCATAGGCTTCAGACAGGGCCACACCCCCCGGAATCCTTTATCGGACTACCCTTCAATATGCGGGGCAGGGGATGGCGCTTCCTCCCCTCTTCCATCTACAGAACAATACCAATGCCTAACCGCCAATACCAATAAAGTTGTGACGATTTGCTACGAGGTAGGTGAAAACCAAGTGGCTGGTGCCAATTTGCCAAGTGGAAAAAATTCCTACCAGGCCCCTTAACGGCGACCAACCAGGGTCCATAGCAAGATCAAGGAACGAAAACCTTACAGGGCAGGAGGGTGGGAAACAGGAACTGCAGGTAGGCACAAAAGAGGGAGATCCCCGGCTGCGATTGGCTGGCCAGGGGGTGATGTGGCCGGGAATTCCCTCAATCGCATAGGGGCTGGGCTCCAGCCGCCACGCACGTGGAGGGGTCGTGAAGCCTGCAACCCCACCTCCTCTGTAGGACAGAAGTGGCTTTTCCAAAGCAATACGAGAACCGCAACACAAAACCAACATTTAAAATTTAATTGCGATTCCTGCATTGCAGTGGGTTGGACTAGATGACTCTCCAAGTCCCTTCCAGCTCTGCAAATCTATGAAATCTGCAATTCTCCGCATTTCGCAAGGCAGTTCTCCAGCCAAGTAATGTGTACAGATATATTCTGCACATATACAGAGAACACAGCAGACAAAATTCATTGCGTTAGGAGACGTCCCTTTGCAAAAATGTGTATATTGGGCACAATTGTGTACAAACGTGTGTATTTTAGGAGAAATTCACACTAACTGCTGTGCCAACTTTTAAATGCCCGGTGAAAGCTTTTCTATTGTATACAAGCGATTAAGAATACAGTGGAACCTCAGTTTTCGAACGTCATCCATTCCAGAAGACTGTTCTGAGTTCTGAAATGTTTGAAAACCGAGGCACAAAGGGAAGTTTGCAAATTCAATAGAAAATGGAAGCAATTACTTCTGGGTTTTCCAGCTTCCGAAACGTTCAGCTTCCGAGATGCTTGAAAGCCGAGGTTCCACTGTACGTCCTTCCGCAATGTTTAAATTATGCCCTTTTAATAACTTTTTAATACTTTTTTTTATTGCACAGTTTTACAATTTACTGCTGTAAACTGCTACGGTGCTTTTTAATGACGTAGCTGTATAGAAATATTTTTATTTTTTAAAACCCCACAACTTTTCAAAATAATAAAAGTTCCCAAACGTGGAGAAGTGAGCTTAAGAGTGCAAAAAATGAGAAATTGAGGAGGGGTCCCAAAATTGACAGTGACTGTTTGCCTACTGCTAAATCCAGCAATGCTCCCATCAGCGCCGCCCCACCCCCAGCATCACATGATCGTGGCAACCAAGCCCTCCTCCCCACTCCCAAATTCTTTTGACTTGACCAGCAAAGCCAGCTGTATGTGCCCCACAGGGAAAGCCCCACCGGGACCCAGAAGACTCCGGACAGCGGCCATGTATCTCAGGAACCCAAGTCTGAGAACTCATCCAATCAGAGCTCTCCAGAGATGCCCACCACCAAGAACAGGTTGGCACATGTCTATTGGCATAGGGTTGGCTTGTTGGGGACGACAGGAGGGAAGTGTTTTAGTGGGGGCTTCCAGTCAGGGCATCTGAATGGCCACTGCGAGAAAAGGTGGGCCATTGGCCTGACCCAGACGGAAGGTTCTTCTGCTGTTCTTAGGTTCTTCATGCAGTGGGACGCAGATGGCACTGTGGTCTAAACCACTGAGCCCCTTGGACTTGCCGATCGAAAGGTTGGCGGTTCAAATCCCCGCAACTGGGGGAGCTACCATTGCTCTGCCCCAGCTCCTGCCAACCTAGCAATTCAAAAGCATGCTATTGCAAGGAGATACCATATTTTTCACTCTATAAGATGCACTTTTCCCCTCCTAAAAAGTAAGGGGAAATGTGTGTGCATCTTATGGAGCGAATGCAGGCGGGAGGCTCTGCTCAGTGCTCCCTTTGAAGAGCCACGTGGAGCGTGTGTGCGGCCCTTGGGGGCTTTTCCAAGGTGCACACTCTGCACGCTCTTTAAAGGGAGTGCAGCTCTTAGGGAAGCCTTAGCCGCGTGTAGCCTCTCCCGGGCAACGGAATGAAGGCTCCCCTTGCCCTGGGAGAGGCTGCGCGCAGCTTAGCAAGAAGCCAGGACAGCCAGCGGGATCGCAGCTAGGTGCTTCTTATGGTCTGGTGCGTCTTATAGAGCAAAAAATACGGTAAATAGGTACCACTGTGGCGGGAAGGTAAACGGTGTTTCCGTGCGCTCTGGTTTCCGTCACGGTGGCCCATTGCGCCAGAAGCGGTTTAGTCCTGCTGGCCACATGACCCGGAAAGCTGTCTGTGGACAAACGCCGGCTCCTCGGCCTGAAAGCGAGATGAGCACCGCAACCTCACAGTAATGCTTTGGTACCACTGTGTGAGGGAATTATGCACAGTCAACTCCTGAACCAGATTGCCTTGGCAGATCATGACGGATCACTGTCTTAGTTCTCAGTGGGCCTTATTTCTCTCTCTCCTTGCAGACCAGATCCTGTAGCCCCCAAACCAGACTCCCTGCGCGATTTCTCGCGTTCCTCCTCCAGCGCTAGCAGCTTTGGCAGCGTGGCAGAAGAGCAGGAGGGGGGCCACGACGAAGACACCGGCATGGTAAGAGGGTCTCACGGGCCAGAGCTCAGTACATGCGGGGAAGCTGCGATGGCGCTCCCAGCTGTTAAGGCTCAACAAAGCCCCGCTGCCCCCCGGCTCATGAGGAGACCTTCCTTGGAGCCCGAAGAGGATGTCCTCTTCAGATTTTGGGGAGGGTCTCCTTGCAAGCCACTGGGACTCTCCAGGGGGCTCCCCATCTCAAGGTTCTACTTCTGGGTTCCCGGCACCAGATGCACACAGTTGCATAATGCATAAGTGCAGAGTTGCTTGGTTTTAAGCACGGTGTACTTATAAAGTTGTCAGTAAGCACTTGATTTACCGTATTGGCCTGAATATAAGCTGCACTCTTTTTTTCCAAATTCCGACCGTGAAGAATTAAAAGGGCGGCTTAAATCCGCGACCTTACGAAAATTGGCTTTTACGATATCGCTGCTGAAACAGACAAGCGGTAAAACGGAACAAAAAAATGTTTTATTGCTGATTTGTGAGCTTGAGACTGCTCATTAGCCATTTATGGGTGCAAGTGCCTGCGGAATTGTAGCAACTGAATAGCGATTTTAGCGATTGTAGGGTAACTTTTGCGGGCTTGCGAGATCAAAGGCTTAAATTACAATTCTACCAACCGCAGCGATTTTCAGCCTGGAACTCAATATTCGGGTATTGTCTCCCCCCACCCTTGAATTCTAAAGGTGTGGCTTATTTGCAAGTGCGGCTTATATTCGGACCAATACGGTATATTGTTTATTAAGAATAGTGCAGTAATTTCCCTTCTGTCTCCAGTCAAAGCAGCCGCTATGAAGAAATTATCTTAACACTCTAGACTGAGCTATACCCTGTGGATGGGAGATTAATAACATTTTTCAAGTCTGTTTTGCTGCCATGTGGATAACCGCAGACAAGGCTTAACATCTGTTCATGCATTTATCATGGAAGACAACACTTTGCGATGGGTAATTGTTTTAATTGTTCATAATAAATGAATAAAAAAGTAAGAACTGAGATCGCAGGGAAATGGACTGGAGAACGCACAGGTAGTGAGAGTTCTGTTACGACAAGGATGTTTGCAGAATAAATGCCATCGATTACAGGTGATAAAACAATCAGCTTGGCAATGCTTCTCTCAGTCTCCCGTGCCAAGGAAAAGGCCGACACTTGGCTACCCGGGCCCTTCTCCCCCACCCACCAACACTGTGTCTTCCTTTTTGTGTCCACCCCCCCAGGAGAGCCAGTCCTCATCAGGCACTCCCCAGAAGCGGGACTCCTTTATCTACAGTACCTGGCTGGATGACAGCCTCAGCAACACCAGTGGGGGCAGCTCACCAGGTACCGGATTCCACTTTAACACCCCTCTCCGTTCTGCCCTGTGCAGTCCTTGCCTTGTCCACTGCAACACCCCTGCGAGGTGGGCCATGCAACCCCCATTTTGCATGCGTCAATCAGCGTTAATCACCACTTAATTATCTCTGTCGACAGAGTCTCGACAGAGACGACTAACCAGCTGTGTTGCCTCCCCGGAAGTCCTTAGGGCTCATATCTTCTAATGTACATTGGTACCTCGGGTTAAGAACTTAATTCGTTCCGGAGGTCCGTTCTTAACCTGAAACTGTTCTTAACCTGAGGTACCAGGAGCTAATGGGGCCTCCTGCTGCCGCTGCGCTACCACCACATGATTTCTGTTCTCATCCTGAAGCAAAGTTCTTAACCCAAGGTACTATTTCTGGGTTAGTGGAGTCTGTAACCTGAAGCGTCTGTAACCCCAGGTACCACTATACACATTTTTGGCAAACTAAATTTTTGGCATTTTGGGCCCAACTCTTCCTCTCAGCCTAGCCTAGCCTACTTCACAGGATTACTGTGCGGATTAATTGAGCTTTTTCTCCAAGGTGGGATATAAGTGCAATAAATAAAACAAATAAATGAAATTCACATTTGATGCTAGTCCTACTCAAAGGAGACCCATTGAATATGATGGACGTGGCTGACTTTGATTCATTAATTTATGGGTGTCTGCTCCAAGTAGGACTTATTTGAATGAATTTCCATATGATACGTTCATTAATGCCTGTATATTGATGCCCATTTCCCCCAATATATATTGATTTATTCTTTGCATTCATGTCTCACCTCCCCCCCCCAAAAAGGAGCTCTTTATTTAATCCCTACAACGACCCTGCAGGTTAGGCTGAGAGGCAATGGCTGGCCCCCAAGGTCACTGATTTGAACCCTGGTCTCCCAGGTCCTCCATTACTCTGGCTCTTTGGCTGGAGAGCTGAATTTGGAGAGGAGCAAAACCCAGAGAATAGCTGTGTTTTCCTTTCACGCATTGTTGAATTTGGTAGGCCCGTTCTTACAATGCAAACCAGGCCGAATTTCTCCACTGCTCCCATCCGGCTTTAATTAATCAACGCTAACGAAAAGGAAGCCTACAGGTCTCTCTGTGTGTTATATGTTACCACCAGATGTTAACAGGTCCTGATGCTGCTGTGCTTGCCTCTCCCTTCTTCCCATCTGTTCTTCCTCTCCCCTAAGGCACGGAGCTCATTGGCCTGCGTCATTGCGCTTCCTTTCCCAGGGATGGGGGAAGATGTTCTGCTCACGAATCAAAGCATCCTTTGCCTGCTTCTTCTTCTCCTCTTATTCTAAGGTTGCCAGATTTTTTCCAAAGAATCCAGGGCCACTTTTTTTTTAAAAAAAGAAAAAAACATTTTTTAAAAAACATTTTTTAAAAAAGTAATATCTTTTCTTCTGTGGTCTCCTCTGTCGCGCTGCCTTCCTCTGGGCCTCAGCCTGTTCTCTTGAAGCTCTAGCCACCATGGAGTAGGCTCTGGTTGGGCCTGGGCTCAGCCACGTGTCCTTGCCCTCCCGGTGCTCTCCTGCCTCTCCTTCTTGGCGGCAGCGGCGCGGCAAGGTCAGGGCTCCCCTCTTTTTTCTCCTTCCTCTTTCTCTCTCTTCCTTCTCCTTTCCCCTCCTCCTTCTCCCTGCGTCAGCTCCAGGGGTTTTACTGGCCCCGGAGCACCGTTGGGCAATTGGCCAGGTGGCCAGGCGCTCTCTCTCCCTGCTTGATTTGGGTTGTGGGAGAGGAGTCAGCGATTCCCCCAGTTGACGCACCGGGTGTCCCCGGTTCCCTCTTTGCAGTTGCAGCGGCAGTCTCAGCAGCCCAGAGTCAGCCTGGTAGCGCAGTTGGCTCTGGCTGGATTCAGGAGCTGCTTGCTGCCGTGGCACCCACATTTTGCCTCACCGGAAGTCCCCATATGATGTGTCTTGTGCCGTTGAACCAATCACACAACATTCATTCCCTACTAATAAATCTGCAACACTTAAAATATAAATCCGGGGACATTAAATGAAATCCGGGGACGGATTTTGTCCGGGGACAGATTTGTAAATCCGGGGACTGTCCCCGGGAAACAGGGACGTCTGGTCACCATATCTTATTCTGGAAGATCAATGTCAACTGACCATGCTGGTTTTGCTCTGCTGTCACACTTTAAGGCAGTGATGCTTCTGAATACCCATAGCTGGAAACCGCAGGAGGAGAGAGTTGCTCTTGCACTCGGGTCCTCTGTGTGGACTTCCTGTAGGGCAGAAGTCTTCAACTTCTTTTAGTCCACAGCTCCCTTGACCAACTACATCCTTTCTGTGGCCCCCCAGTGGGACTCAGGAGCCCAGTTAGGTCACACCTTGCCTCCCGAGCTGCCAGCCTCTTGCCCTTTTTTCAAACACCTTCCCTTGTGGAGTGTTCCCTAGGCCTCCTCTCCTCTCCCCTCTCCTTGGGAGTCCTCTAGGCAGCAGCCACAGCCACCCCAGGTCTCTGAGCCACCTCAGCTCCTGCCAGCCAGCTCTTCTCTCTCTTTGGCAATCCCTCGCAGCCGAGTAAGATTGTCTTCCATAAACACAGTTTTAACAGTGAGTCCGTAAGAGACTTTGGAGGCCAGTTCTGGATCCACACGTCCTTCCACGGTGAGGACATAGGTTTCCAGGCAGGAATTGACCACGGCTAGGGACGCAGGTGGCGCTGTGGGTAAAAGCCTCAGCGCCTAGGGCTTGCCGATCGAAAGGTCGGCGGTTCGAATCCCTGCGGCGCGGTGCGCTCCCGTCGTTCGGTCCCAGCGCCTGCCAACCTAGCAGTTCGAAAGCACCCTCGGGTGCAACTTGATAAATAGGGACCGCTTACAAGCGGGAAGGTAAACGGCGTTTCCGTGTGCGGCTCTGGCTCGCCAGAGCAGCAATGTCACGCTGGCCACGTGACCCGGAAGTGTCTCCGGACAGCGCTGGCCCCCGGCCTCTTGAGTGAGATGGGCGCACAACCCTAGAGTCTGGCAAGACTGGCCCGTACGGGCAGGGGTACCTTTACCTTTACCTTAGGGTTTGCCAAGCATGCCTTCCTTTTAACCCATTTCTTCCTTTCATCCTGAGTTCAAGCATTTTCAAAGCCCATGACACCTTTGGTAAAGGCTGTTCTCCAATTGGAGCGCTCGCAGGCCAGTGTTTCCCAGTTGTTGGTGTTTATCCTACATTTTTAAAAGATTCTTCTTGGGAGAATCTTTAAACCTCTTTTGTTGACCACCAGCGTTACGCTTTCCATTTTTAAGTTCGGAATAGAGCAGTTGCTTTGGAAGACGATAATCAGGCATCCACACAACATGACCAGTCCAACAAAGTTGATGCTGAAGAATCATGGCTTCGACCGCTGGCCACCCCCAGGGGGACCATTTGCCTGCGGAGCTTGAAGCTGGAGCTGCTGCAACAAGCAGCTGTGCAAGCCTTTGGGAGGCAGAGACGCAAGAGGGCATCCGAGGAGGGAGGGAAGGAAAGAGGGACAGAGGCCAGTGTTGCCTCTGACCATCATTCAAGGCATGCAGCATGGCACACTGGTTAAAAATCACTGCCGTAGGGGAATCCGGTTGGCCACTGGGAGAGCACGATGGGCCCCCATTTAGACTCTTCCTGGTAAAGGCTATACTTAAGTTGTTATTTCCTCCCCTGTCCCATTCTCCATCTTTCCAGGCCCTTCTCGCTCTCCGCAGCCAGATCCCAGGAAATCTACGGACCCCTCTTGTCCAGAAATAAAAATCCAGCTGGAACAGTCCGAGCGGCAACCTCCCCACCTGGTGAGTGTGTGTGAGGGCTGGGTTTTGCCACAAACCCAGTCTTCCAGTTGCAGGGCAGAGGAGGAGGCCTGCGAGTGTCTGAAGCCAGGATATGGGAGGAGGCGAATAGGAGGCAGTGGCATAAGGTGGGGATGTGGATTATTTTCCTGTGGGTGCATTAGGAAAAGGACACCCTTCTGGTGTCTGTGGGACAGAGGCTGATCTTGCAGATGAAAGCAGTGGCTGACACATACAATTAACACAAAGTTAAACTACGGAACTCCCTCCCACTGGATGCAGTGCTGGCCACCAACCTGAATGGCTTTAAAACAGGGTTAGACAAATTCAAGAGCTATTGATGGCTACCGGCCACAATGGCTCAGCTCTGCCTCCACTGTCTGCGGCAGCAGTGCTTCTGAATCCTGGTTGCTGAAAACCACAGGAAGGGAGAGTGTTGCTCTTGCACCTGAATCCCGCTTGCTGGTATTGCATAACGGGCAACTGTTCAACCATTGTGGGAACAGGATGCTGGACAAGTAGGACTATTAGCCTGATACAGCAACCGGGCTTTTTTATGTCCTTATGGAACCTCCGGGTTCAGAGGCAGTCTATCTAGATTTCTAGCTTCTTAGGGGTATTTGGCCACTGTGGCAACAGGGTGCCAGACCAAATGGACCATTGGCCTGATCCAGCAGGACAGTTCTTAAGCAAGAATTGATACAGCCGCTTGTACCCATGGAAAAGTGTGTCAGTGGGCAGAAGGCACGAGGATTAGGGCAGGCTGGGAGGAGGTCGTGGGGCTCTGCCACCGAGGTTTCCCTCTTGCACGAGCTGATCCGTTCTGTGGTTTCCCTCGACTCTCCTTGCACGTGGCCTTAATGTTCTCTTCCTTTCTGTGTGTCCCCCACAGAGCTGCTAGCCCTCCCTGCCCAGCCTCCGTGGATGCCTCTCCCCACAAGGTCAGACCCTCTTTCGCGTCTCGGGGTTCACCCTGGCTCCCAACGCAGTGAGCAAGCCAGCAGGCTTTGGGCAAGTCTTCCCTCTCAGAGCAAGACCTAGATTGCTCCAAATCGTAAAAGGGGAAGGAGGGCTGCTTCCTCCCTTCCACTTCTTGCCTTGGTGGGGCTGGCATTTCCTGCCCCAAAGAACCCTGCCCCTCCCCAGGGGCACCCCATAAACACCCAGCCCCTTCCTTTGTGCCACCCTCTTGTGATGACCATGTGCACATAAGGCATGTTCTCTAACTTAACCCTTTCCCTCCATGTTTCCTGCCCTCCACCCCATCCCACCCCCCAAAATAGCTCCAAATAGCTCATTGGTTTTTAAACAGAGGTTGGACGGCCACCTGACAGGGATATGTCCCTTGGAGCCTCTTCCAGTTCTACAGCCCTGGGATTTTATTACCCTATTCCTTGTGGTCTCCACCCCTCCGCTCCCTTCTCCCCAATTGACCCCCCAGTCTTCCAATCCCATTCCCCATCCTGAAAGGGTGAGGATGCCTTTAGGGGGACAAGTACAGTGGATGCTTGGGTTGTGAACGTGATCTGTGCGGGATGCACGTTCGCAACCTGCGCCTGCGCATCTGAGCACGCACGGGTTGCGATTCGGCACTTCTGCGCATGCGCAAAGTGCGATTTAGCGCTTCTGTGCATGTGTGACTGCTGAAACCCGGAAGTAACCCGTTCCAGTACTTCCGGGTTTCAGCAGTCTGCAACCTGAAAAAGGCAACCTGAAGCGGCTGTAACCCGAGGTATGACTGTACTGCGTTTCCCATCTTTCCCAAACTGACTTCCTCCTCTTCCTCATCCGCCCTTCCCCTACAGCACACGGCGAAGAAGCACAAGCTGAGGGAATTGCGGAAGGCCCCCATCTTCGTCACGGCACAAGACTACTGCCCGGCCAGCAAAGCTGACCTGCCCAAGCCGCCGTCTTAAGCAAGCAGCTGCCTCCCCCATCTCTCCTTCCCGTCACTTTTGGCAGGGCAGCAAGGCATGCTGGGACTGGCCAGGCCTTGAGAAGAAGCTCTCGAGGTCCCTGCCCAATCCCCATCCCTTCCATGAGCTGTGCTCGACACCCCCCTGTCTCACCCCATTATTAGCTCTGGCCCTCTGCGGACGACATCTCGCAGCCAGCAGTGATGCCTACCAGGCCCAACTGTGAAGCCAAGATGAGGACGTGACGCTCTTTGAATCAAAACACGGACAATCACCCACCCACATCCAGATTCCCCCAGCCCTTTTCTGCGGCGGAGATGTCTGTTTCGCTTGTCTCTAGAAGCAAGGGGCCGCCGGGTGGCTCTGCGGCTCTCGCGTCGCCATCAAACTATCTTGGGAGAGGGAAACCAGCACAGAAAATGAACCAAGAGCTCAGCAGTCTGGGTGCTTCGAGGGCACCTGAGGGGAGAGCTCCGGATTGGGAGCTTGGAGAGAAAAACGAAACCTTGGGAAGATTCTCCAGCATTTTGGCACACCGGGGGAGCAGAACCGGAGACCCTGTTCCGGAAGCGCTGTGGCCGTGGAGTCTAAGCCGTTTTGTGGTCTGCTAGAGGCTGGGACAGATCAACCACTCCTCTCTCCGTTTGTATAACAGCCATGTTCCCCATTCCTGTGTATATATCCTGCCATCAGCTGCCAAGCCCATCAGCTGCTCTCCATCAGAAGTGGCACTGTGAATCCCGCCCCCCTCTCTCTCTACAGCTGAGCCTTGCTGTTGTGCTCACCCACACAGTCCGAAATCCTTTCTTTCCTAGTGGCACATCTGGCAATAACGGGAGCCAGGGCAGAATCGGAGGCGGCGTCTGGGTAACTTTGCAGAAGGGTTCCCAAATATACGAACCCCCAAGACGGTGTGGATTGGCAGGGTTTGGGAGACCCCTCGTCCTCCCAGGCAACGCGTGACTCTCTCTCTTTCTCTCTCGTTTTTTCTCGAAGTTTATCCCAAAGAATAATTGACAATTGACTCTTTATTTATTTTTTTGTTGCCGCGGGACAGCTGACGTCCAAGGCACTTAGAAGAACAGCCAGTGAACTGCTTCTGTCCCATTTATCTCTCTTTTTTGGTGGGGGAGCAGCAGCCCGTTCCACAATAACACCCTCCTCTTTGCATGCTGCGTGTCGTCTCTTCATCAAGAAAAACCAGATAGAGCCAGACAGAGGTTGCCCTAAACAAAGGGGGGAAAGTCGGGACACGGGGTAGGGTTTGCATCGCCATATTCCCTAACGGGAGTTTATTACTCGTGGCAGGACACTCCAAGCTGTCTTTGCATTGTTCCCTCCAAACTACGGCCAGTCTGCATCCATGCTGTACAGTTTTTCGGGGTGGGAGTGGGGATGCAATGTTCCCTTTCCTGGCTCTCTTCTCCTGAATCTGCCAATGTGCAGGACCAGAGAAGAACATGTGCCCAGATCCCAAAGTACTTAATTTCAACCCGCCTTCTTGTGACTAGATAAATCCTGTGAACGTCTGGGCCCATTTGCCATCTGTGTCACGTGTGTGTGTGTGTGTGTGTGTGTGTGTGTGTCCCCTTCCCTCCCATCCTGCCGTCCTCTGTTTTTGTTACTGTATTTTTTAAAGATGCACAAAAATCCATGAATTAATGTTCAGGAACTAAGGTTTCCTTCTCTCTCTCTCTCTCTCTCTCTCTCTCTCTCTCTCTCTCTCTCTTAATTTTTAAGCTCCGAGGTTGTGTTGGTGTTTCCAGTGACATATGTATAAAAAAAAGAAGACAAAAATGAAAAATCTATTTATCGCTATTGTAAGAAGACTCTATTTGTAAAATGCTTTTTAAGATATACAGGCTGTAAAATAAAACGAGAAATCCGTGCATTTCAATCACTGACAGAGCTGGTGGGGTCTTGTGCATTCTGTGTGTTTGTGGGGGGAGAGGGCAGGTGTGGGGAGGGAAACCTACTCATTTATTTTATTTCACCAAAAAAATAACGTGCCGCTTGTTAGTAAAAAAAAAAAAGTCCTCAAGGTGGTTAACAAAAAAAGAATAAAAACTATGAAATTATCAGTTAAAGACAAGGATTTAAAAGTAGAATTGAAATCATCGATAAGCTAAAAAAAATATTAAAATTCATGCCAACATTCTACAGTGTGTTTGCCTAAGCAAAATTGTTTTTAGCCGACCCTAAAATCACAGCAAAGGCGCTTGCCTAATGTCAATAGGCAGGGAGTTCCAAAGTGAGGCTGCTGCCACACTAAAAGATTGGTTCCTTACAAAGGCAGAATGGGCATTTCATGGCAACTGTTACAGTGCTTTGTTCTGTACTTCCAATGGGTTTTGCTGGGTTGCCACAAAGAGAGCTTTGTCGCTACAAACCAAAAGCCCCGCTTAGTCAAGCAGCCACCTCTAGAAGTCCAAGGGGGAAGCTGGGGGGTGGCCGCCATTCCCCATGGTTTGTCTTTTGGGGATTATTATTATTATTATTATTATTATTATTATTTATTAATACCCCACCCGTCTGGCTGGGTTTCCCCAGCCACTCTAGGTGGCTCCCAAATATAAAAAAACAGAATAAAACACCAAACATTAAAAACTTCCCTAACCAGGGCTGCCTTCAGATGTCTTCTAAAAGTCAGATAGTTGTTTATTTCCTTGACATCTGATGGGAGGGCGTTCCACAGGGCGGGTGCCACTACCGAGAAGGCCCTCTGCCTGGTTCCCTGTTACTTTACTTCTCACAGTGAGGGAGCCACCAGAAGACCCACGGAGCTGGACCTCAGTGTCTGGACTGAATGATGGGGGTGGAGACGCTCCTTCAGGTATACTGGACCAAGGCAGTTTAGGGCTTTCAAGAACAGCACTAACACTTTGAATTGTGCTTGGAAACATACTGGGAGCCAATGCAGATCTCTGAGGACCAGGGTTATATGGTCTTGGTGGCCACTCCCAGTCACCAGTCTAGCTGCCGCATTCTGGATTAATTGCAGTTTCCGGGTCACCTTCAAAGGTAGCCCCACGTAGAGCACATTGCAGTAGTCCAAGCGGGAGATAACTAGAGCATGCACCACTCTGGCGAGACCGTCTGCGGGCAGGTAGAAAGAGTGCCTCTGAGCATATGAAGTGTGCGACATCACACACACCTTTAGTATGTATTTATTATGCATTCATACATAAGACATTACAGTAATGTTCCTTGAACTTGTGTCCTCTTGCACCATCGCCCCAGGGGTACAATGGTCCTTCGCGTCCCTTCCATGATAACTGGGGTGGTTGTATTCACCTGGGCTGAAGGTGCAAATTGTAGTCCCCAAACACCTGGATGGCAAAGGCTGGTTTGGGAGAGACCAGTTAGCCTTAAGGCAGCAGGAGGTGGGGAGAGACGCTTTTGGCCACCCCCAGGACTGAATCTCAACCAGCCAAGGTGCAAAAAAGCAGATGGAGCCTGCCGAAATTTTCAAACCTTGACAACGAAGCAAGCAATCGAAAGGTGTCACTCAGGTAAGCAATGAGCCCAGTGGTGGGGAACTTTTTTCAGACGGAGGGGCCACATTCCCACCTGGATAGCCTGGGCTGCATGCCCATAGTGGGTGGGGCTAGGCAAAAGTGTTCCCCCCCAAAAAAAAATTTTTTAAATTGATTTTCCAGAATTTTAGACGGACAAACAAACATACATCTTAACTATACTTAGTCCAATCTTGGTAACATTGTTACGTGACTTCCTCAAATCCCCCTGGCTGAGTTTCATTGTATATCATTGTAACATTTTTCCAAAACAAATTTTCTCATAAAATTAACTTAATCACTTAACATCTTTTTTCCTTTTAACTTTAAACATATTATTCTCTAACATCACATATTTAAAGCCTAAGCCTATCGGGTATTTGCAAGATTTTCCAATTAAGATATCCTAGCATAGTTAACTAAATAGTCTTTAAATTTCCTCCATTCCTCCTGGTACTCCTCCTCCTTCTGGTCGCAGACTCTTCCGGTCAGGTCGACTAGCTCCGAAAAGTCCATCATCTTCATCTGCCATCCCTCCACTGTTGGGACTTCTTGTGTTTTCCAATTCTTAGCTAACAAAATTCTAGCTGCAGTTGTGGCATACAAAAACAATCTAACATCTTACTTGGGCAATTCCAAACCTGTTATTCCAAGAAGAAAGGCCTCTGGTTTCTTAATAAATGTATATTTCAACATTTTCTTCAATTCATTATAAATCTTCTCCCAGAAGTCTTTCACCTTGGGGCAGGTCCACCACATATGAGAAAAGGTACCCTCTTTTTCTTTACATTTCCAGCATAGATTATCACTATTGTGATATATCTTTGCTAATTTTACAGGGGTTAGGTACCATCGTTTTCATAATATTTTCCTTTAACACCGTACATGCAGTAAACTTGACCCCTTTCCTCCACATCATTTCCCAATCTTCAAACATTATGTTGGGTCCCACATCTCTTGCCCAATCTATCATCACAGATTTAACTTGTTCATCCTTTGTATGCCATTCCAACAATAGATTATACATTTTAGACAAATTTTTAACTTTAGAGTCCAACAACTCCGTTTCCAACTTAGTTTCTTCCTAAGCAAAACCATTTTTCTTATCTAGTTTATACAGGGGGCTAGGCAAAAGTGAGTGGGATTTTACCTGTGCAAAGTAGGCTAGTTTATACAGACATCCATCCCTCTCTAACCTCCAAGGAAGGGACATGATCAGAGTTCAGGGGCATGACCCAGTCAGGCAAAAATAATTTTATTTTATTTGAATTTTAAAGTCAGTTTATTTTCAAAACATTCCATCAATACTGATTTATGAATTTTGCACATAACTGAAGGTGCACAGTTTTTCCCCCTTTTAATTATTTTTATTTTGACAAAGTAATAATCACAAATAAACAAGAATAAAAAATGTGCACCCTACCTCCGAGACCATTCCATTGTAACTATCCAACCTCCCAAAATTCCAACACCTCCTGCGATGGTTTGGAACCCTGAAAATCATTCTAAACGAGTTGCTTTATAGATGATTTTGAATGGTTTCCCCGCTTGTCGTTTCCTGTGCTTGGGCTCCCTTGGGTGGGATGTAAATTCAGAGCTGAATTTAAAGTAGTGTTAAAGGGATCCGACTGTCAACACAGAGATTACCCTCTGCTGGTTGTGGAGGGAGTCCCGCTGGACTATTGGAACTGCTGGCTCCTGTTAATGCGACTATTTAGTTGAATTCAGCACTTAATAAATAAGATAAATAATAAATACTTGTGGCTATGACTAGGGAGGCATATGGAGAGCCCCCAAAGGACTGGGCTGGGGAGTGCATTTGACGCTTTCCCCCAACACCTTAGGTTCCCCTCCTAAACTTTGGAACTATTGAGATTAAGCAAGTGCCTTCTATCAATGCTATAAAAGTTCTTGGTTAGATGAGCCTCCCTATATGCTTATAGAGTTGATGTGAGTTTTGTAGAATCATAGTAATGAATTTTAACTTAGTATTTCAACTTTTTGTACATTTTAAACTACTGTTACGTTTTTTCCTTATTCTTTTATCTCTTTCGTAAACAGCTTTGAGGTTTTTCCCCCACAGTATACCTATTATGAACTAATGAATAAATAAATTTCAGCTGGAATTTCAGCCATCCTCCACCCCCACTGCCTTTACTCAGACATGCACAGGAGCCCCTGACCTTCCGTAACCAAGATGAAGTCATGCAGGAGCTCAAGGGGCTTGCTGTTGAATAAGATCGCAAAAGGGTCTTGTGACCATTTCCAAGAAGTTAAATGTGTGTTTAACCTGTTGCGGCGAAATCGTGGGCATGGGAAGCTTTTGTGATCAGATGAACTAAATCATGGGTAGGCAAACTAAGGCCCGGGAGCCGGATCTGGCCCAATCAAATTCTAAATCTGGCCTGCGGACGGTCCAGGAATCAGCGTGTTTACATGAGTAGAATGTGTCCTTTTATTTAAAATACATTTCTAGGTTATTTGTGGAGCATAGGAATTTGTTCACCACCACCACCCCAATATATATATATATATATATATATATGGTCCGGCCCCCCACAAGGTCTGAGGGACAGTGGACCAGCCCCCTGCTGAAAACGTTTGCTGACCCCTGAACTAAATACTGGCATTGGGAGTTTTGTGTGTTTTGCTGCAGGAGGCAACACTTCTGCTGCTCTGGAAATTCTTAACAATTTATGATAACAGGAGAGAACAATAGAAAGAGGAAGAAACACAGATAGGGTGGTGGGACGTGACGTTCTTTCCTCTGATGACTTCTGCCCCTGTTCTTCCTCTGCTATTTTCCAGGTTAAACATTTTGGCACAAGATTTTCCTTGGGAGTGGGTGCACAGAGCACTTGTCAAAAACTTTGGCGTGCATAGAAAAGAGCAGTGCTATTTTTCTAGAAAAGGGCGTGCTGGACCGGCTCACTTCTCCCTTGTTCTCTTAGAATGGCAATAGCATCCACCCAAGAGGTGCCGGAGGTGAGCTCTGGTGAGCTCCAGCTGGGAGAAAGGGGGGAAAGCCCCGATTAATCAGTTCATAGAACTGTAGAATTGGAAGGAGCCCCAAAAGTAATCTAGTCCCACTCCCTGGAATCGCATGTTACTGGTTGTTGTTGTTTAGTCGTTTAGTCGTGTCCAACTCTTCGTGACCCCATGGACCAGAGCATGCCAGGCACTCCTGTCTTCCACTGTCTCCTGCAGTTTGGTCAAACTCATGCTGGCAGCTTCGAGAACACTGTCCAACCATCTCGTCCTCTGTCGTCCCCTTCTTCTTGTGCCCTCCATCTTTCCCAACATCAAGGTCTTTTCCAGGGAGTCTTCTCTTCTCATGAGGTGGCCAAAGTATTGGAGCCTCAGCTTCAGGATCTGTCCTTCCAGTGAGCACTCA